TTATCTGTGAGTGAGGTGAAAGTGTTGAATGATGATGAAAGTATTTTCTTTTTGGGGATTTTCTTTCTTTTTTTTTTTGGCCCACCCTGCCTCGGTGGGAGACGGCCGACTTGTTAAAAAAAAAATGTATAAGACTTATATGAAAAATGGAGTGTACATAAATGAGTGTCTAACAAAAAAAATGTCAAAACCTTCTGTTCAGGTTGAGAAAACTTAAACAGGAAAACAAAATACATCAGTGTTTCACGCGAGATGGGAAAATACTAGTAAGGAAACATCAACAGGACAACAATATACCATCTCAAACGAACATGATTTCTCTACCTTCCTTAGAAAAGCTGACATTTCTGTAACAGATTAGATAAGTGCCCTTAATACATATATACGTGTGGTGCATATAGTGTACGTTACTATTATATTGTGCATTATTATTGTTATTATTTTTCATCACTAGCTAATGCCAACTACCTCCAATACTCTATACTTCTTTCTTACTGCTATTAATTGCTCATAATTTTAAATTACAAGTCAAATCTTACTCCAAATTAATAATATTCATTATTCTTACCTGTCCATTTAATTTTGTTTATCACTACTTGTTTTTTAGTCACTTTTCATTGTGTATGCAATTAGTGTATATTCCAATTACTTTTTTGCAAGTACCAATACTATCTTTTGCTAGCTAGTACCAACTACCTCATTTTTTTTTTACTTTTTATTGTGCAATAAACTGCTCAATTTATTTAATATTACAAATCAGATCTTACTCCTAAACCAATATTATTTCATAGTGACCATCTGTCCATTTAACTTTGTTTACCATTACTTAATTTTAGTCCCTTATATATTTTCTGCTTTATTTTAGCTTTATATAACTACCCTAGTTTATATATTCACAATTGTTAAAATAATCAAGGTGCTATTCTCAGGTGCTAAAGTAGAATAAGTTCACAATTTTGCCATTATATTCCAAAGCTCATTTATTTGATTACCACTTTATTGTTCACCACAACTTATATTAGTCCCTTTTATATTATAATTTTATACTATAATTCTAACTTTAAAGAATTACCTTTATAGTACTACCTACTATCATATTCCCAAGCTCCATTATTTGATCATCACTTTATTTGTATTAGTCCCTTTTATATTATCTCCTTTATTTTAGCTTAAAAAAAAAAAACTACCTTAGCTCATTATTTTACATTTGTTAAATAATTCAGGTGCTATTTTTTTAGCTGAAGACTATTTACTTTGTTTTATACTTAATTCTAACTATAGATTCACTACAAATCTTATGATTACAAGCATTGATCCTGATACCAACCTCTTATTTAATGACTTAAATGAATCAAACAGTTACTGTAATTACTACACTGCAGAACAATCAAAGGCACTTCTCAGTGCCAACAACAACATAACTATCTTTAACTACAATATCAGATCTTTAAGCAAGCATTACGATGACCTCATAGCATTACTAAATTCCTTACATGCCAATATGTCCATCATTACACTAACTGAAACCTGGCTAAAGCCTGATACTACAGATGTCTATGCCATTCCTGGTTACACAGCCATACACAACTGTAGGCCAGACCAACAAGGGGGTGGCACAGCCATATACTACTCAGACCAACTAGAATGTATCACTAATACTTGCACAAGGGATGAACATGGGGAATATATAACAGCCAAATTCAAATCCAAATACCTACAAAAACCTCTCACATTGATAAACATCTACAGAGTTCCACAGTCAAACATTAGCCAATTTAGTCAAAACCTAGGAAGTATGATAACTGATGCACGCATGAACAAAGATCACTTACTACTCTCAGGTGACTTCAATATAAATCTCCTGCAAGACCAGGACCCACACGTTACTGAATTCACAAACACAATGAGTAACTGTATGTTGCTACCAACAGTAACAAAACCTACAAGAGTTACAGAGACTAGTGTTTCCTTACTTGACCACATCTGGACCAACACCATATCCCCTTTAAAATCAGGCATAATTACAGATAATACCACAGACCACTACCCTACTTTCCTCATAACAACTCTTGGTAAACTACCCCCAAGACACTACTAAAGTCACCTTCAGACTTCACAATGAGGCAGCCATTAATAACTTCACAACAGCAGTAGCAAACATTGACTGGCACACTGAGCTAGAAATCTATATTGATGAATGTATTAATAATTTTCTAAAAAAGACCCAATACCTCTATAACAAGCACTGCCCTAAAAAAACTAAACAGATGACAGCTAAGAGACTGAACAGTCCCTGGCTAACACCCAGCATTCTCAAATCCATAAATACAAAACACCAATATGAAAAACAGTACAGAATGGGTCACATAACCAGAGACCAAACAAAACGTACTCGTCAATCCTAACCAGCCTGATAAGAAGGGCAAAAAAATTGTATTATGAGAACAGGTTATCCAACTTACGAGGTGATATAAAAAAGTCCTGGAAAACCCTATCAGAAATTCTGGGAACAAAAAAGATATCACGAAATAGCGAAATAAAATTAGCAAAATCAGATGAACCCCAACTCCCACCAACAGAAACAGCAAACAGACTCAATGATTTCTTCTCCACTATAGGACAAAACCTTGCCAATAAAATCCCAAGCTCAGATACCCCACCAAATGACTACCTCACCGGCAACTACCCGAACACACTGTTCCTAGCTCCGACTAACCCATACGAAGTCTCCCTTATTATCAACGCACTAAAAAACAAGGCAGGAGATTTAAATACCTTACCACCCCTTATATACAAAAAAGTGTCAAGTGCTATCACCAGTCATTGCAACACTCTTTAACAAATCCATTGAATCCTCCACCTTCCCTACAGTACTCAAAATAGCAAGGGTCACCCCGATCCACAAAGGAGGAGACCAAACAGAGTTGAATAACTATAGGCCAATATCCAACTTACACCCTCTCTCAAAAATCTTCGAAAAATTAATTCATAAACGAATCTACTCCTACCTTATCTCCCAAAACATACTCAACCCCTGCCAATTTGGATTCAGGCCTAATAAAAATACTAATGATGCTATTATACACATGCTAGAACATATATACACTGCAATAGAGAAAAAAGAAGTTCCACTGGGGATCTTCATTGACTTACGTAAAGCTTTTGATACAGTTGACCATGACTTGCTCCACGTAAAATTGTCACACTATGGTATAAGAGGGCACTCCCTCAACTACCTCAAGTCATACCTCAGCAACAGAAGCCAATATGTGTACGCAAATGGGGCAAACTCTTCTGCACAACCAATTACAGTTGGTGTCCCACAGGGAAGTGTCCTTGGCCCTCTTCTCTTTCTCCTATACATAAATGACCTACCAAATGCTTCGCAATTACTCAAACCCACACTATTTGCAGATGACACTACATACATCTTCTCCCACCCGAGCCCAGTCACGCTAGCCAATACTGTAAATACCGAATTACAGAAAATATCTACCTGGATGAGGACTAACAAACTTACACTAAACATTGACAAAACCTACTTCATTCAGTTTGGTAACAGAGCTACAGATGTCCCTCTTAACATAATGATAAACGGATCACCTATCACAAAGCTAACAGAGGGAAAATTCTTAGGAATCCACCTTGATAATAGACTCAAATTTCATACACATATACAACAAATTTCTAAGAAAATTTCCAAGACTGTAGGCATACTATCGAAGATACGGTACTATGCTCCACAGTCAGCCCTCCTGGCCCTATATCACTCTTATTTACCCCTATCTCACCTATGGAATTTGTGCATGGGGCTCAACAACAATTAACCATCTCAGACCACTAATTACCCAACAAAAGGCTGCAGTTAGAATGATAACAAATTCTCACTACAGGCAGCACACTCCACCAATATTCAATACACTAAACCTACTCACCATACAAAACATCCATACTTATTACTGCACCTATTACATACATAGAACACTTAACTCTGATATTAACCCTCCCCTCAAACATCTCCTTGCCAACCTCAACAGAACACATGACCATAACACAAGGCACAGATCACTCTTTGATGTTCCTCGTGTCCATCTCACACTATGCAAAAACTCAATGCACATAAAAGGCCCTAAAATCTGGAATTCATTACCTGTAAATATAAAAGAAACACTACCTGTTTATAAATTCAAGTCTCTTCTCAAAGATCACTTACTCACCCAAAACCAAATAAATACTGAATAACTGAACCTTATAAATTGTATATCTTAAATGTTTCTCACAATTATATCACATAAATGTTAAACCTAAAACCCAATCTAACTTTATTATTTTTTAAATACACTACCTAACAGAATACTCCATACGACTGAATGTACAACAATGCATGCAACCATATGACCTGTCTTTGTAATACTCACTTGTGCTTTATAGTAATCTGTTTACATTAATGTTTTATCACTGATTTCATCATTGCTTAGTTAATCTTAAGTTAATTTTAAGCCAGCCCGTAATGCTATGCATAGTATAAGTGGCTTTGGCATGCTGCTCTTATCTGTATTTTTTTGTACCTCTGTATGTGTGCTCAAATTGTTAATAAATAAATAAGGGTTTGCTACTATCCATGGTTACGGTACCCACAGCAGGTCCTTGGAATGTATCCCCCGAGGATATGGGATCCTACTGTATATAACATTTAAATCTTAATATACTGTTTCTTTAGTCCAATTATTCCATTCTCATTAGCAGGGAAAGATGTCAGGCTACATGTAGTGATTGTTGACTGTTTTATATCTTTTTATTTTATTTTAACTTGTTGGATATTTATGACCAAGGCAGGAAAACAAAAAAATATACTCACCATCACTCTCTTTTAAGATGTCTTTCTGGAAGAGCATATACATCATGGTGCATTCTTGACCTATCCCTACTTACCACTGTTCATGCTCCATGACCATGTCAAAACTTATGGAGCATTGATTGCAAATTCTTTCTCTTGTCAGATATGACATTACTGGATGTGGAGAGTGCTGGGCTGGATGATGACATAGTAGTGAGAGCTGCCACTACTAGGGAGAGCAAGGCATCTAAGACAGGCAAGACTCAGGCAGTGCAGCATGGGTCAAACTTTGCCACTCACCTTAGGTCCATGCCCACGCTCACCCCTGATGATAAGATGGTGTTTTATTGTAGTGGCTCCATTGTGGGCAGACTTAATGTAGCTGAAGGTAATGGGATGAAGCTTGATGTTAACAGTATTCAACCTAAAATTCTGATATCACTGTCATTGTTATATAAATTGTATCTCTGCAGATATAATTTATATAACACAGTTCATAAGACCAGCCGTGATAATTGACAACCAAACAGACACCACACACTCGGATCTCACTACAGTCTTTCTCATCTTTCTCCCTTTCCCCTCACTTGATGTTTCAGGAGGTGAAGTGGAGGGTCAGAATGTTGGGCATGGGGACCACAAGTCGTTTGTAACAGCACTAACTGTCTCTCCTGCAGAACCAGTCATGGTTGCCACTGCACAGGTAACTAAGCAAACCCTTCTTGCTTTTGTTTGTATGATATATGTATGCGTGTTATTAATGACTGGAGAATGATTGTTTCATTGTAGTGTCACACTTACCACAGGATGATGCACACTCATTGCAAGATGGTCCACACTCAAAGCAAGATAGTGCACACTTACTGCAAGATGGTATACACACATGGCAAGATGGCGCACACTCACACCAAGATGGTGCATATGCAAAGCAAAATGATACACAATCATGGTAGGATGATGCACACTCATGTTGGTGACATACATTCTTCATATTATACCACGCACTCATTGTAGCACGATGCCATGTTAGAGTAGAGTTACAGTATTTTCAATGTACCCTTGCACCAAATATATACAGTACCACCACATCAGGTGCCAACCTTTCCCAGTTGCCCTTAGGCGATTTTCTTGCTATCTCATGAGCACTCATCCCACCACTGACCCAAGCACTATGGTTACCCATTAATCTACTGGCATAGTATCCATAGTCACCTATGTACAAACCTATCATATATTTTTTGTGTACTTTGTTTACAAAATTCAGTTGTAATTCTAATACCTAAGACTAATAGGGTCCACAGACACATTGTAAAAAAAAAATTACATAGCTCTTTAATTCATCTCCAGGGTGACTTCATTTATATAGAATATGTATTTAAATTTTGAACATGTATAGTTTTCGGATACAGAATTTTTAATATTCAAATGTAGCTAAGTTGTAAAATAACAAATTTTAACATGCAAATACATAATATCTTGTTATATTATTTATATTTGATAATCAGTTGGGTATGGCAGAGGATACTCAGGAGGATAAGGCAGAGTTTGCATTGGTGCACGTGTGGTCGGCGAGCGACGGTTCCACTGCAGCCGTGCTCCGAGGTGGCCCTGAGGCCCTCATCACCTCTCTAACATTTTCACCAAGCGGGAGGTTCCTTGCCTCCCTTGCTGATGCTTCCATAGTACACGTCTTTAACTGGATTAAAGGTGAGAACCCATCTTTGATATTTACTACTAACTCACAAATTGGAAATACAAACTGAGTGATGTTCGAGTCTGTCCTGGTCCAATTTCAAATCATGTCAGTGGTCTAGGATGGATCAAATCATCAAGTTTTCATTTCCAATTGTGAGTTAGTTGTGACTTGTTCCAGCCACAGTTTTGTGATCTTAATTCTTCTGTATCCAATATTTACTTATCCTAATAACAAAAACATATTGTATTGTTGCATATGAGCAAGGTAACTTTTATGAAGGGATTTAGGGGAAACCAGTTAGCCAAACTTAACTCTTGAGGGTGGGAAGGGCAGTAAATGCACTCTGAAGGATGGGTGGGGATGTTGCAGTTGGAGAGTACTCTGAATTGTGATGCCAGCACACTTCTGGCAAGAAAAAATCCAAAATTCAGTTATAATCTCTATATAAAATTGTAAAGAAAAATAACGTTCCTTTGCTTATTGTTTATCAGAATTATGTAAAAAAGATAGGTACCAAACTTGCATATCCCCAAATTGAATGCAGGTGGTTGCAACAACAAATGATTACAAATAAATCTAAAATTCAGTCATAATTCTCTACTTTACTCTCCTTCCACCACCAGTCATCCAGCCTGTGTTTGTATGGACTGAAGTGCACATGTTATGAACTTGTAAATGCATAATTATCTCCCTGTTACTACTTCCTTACCCCCTCCCTCCTAGTCCAGACTTTGTGTTGGCAAAACTCAACTTTGTCTGGCCAGGTGTTCATTTTCTTTTGAATTGGCACAAGACCTTTAACTTAACAGCAACCATAGGACTTCCTTCAAAATAGGCTCATTGAATTTTCCCTGCCCAAATCTGTTTTTTCTCTTATTTCTTATACACACTAGAGTAATATCTGGATGAGCACATGAGAGTAAATTTATACCACATTTGTAAACTACTGGTAGGAATGGGGTGACTGCATAACAGCAAATTCACATTTCAAGTTCACATTTGTTAGGTTATCTGTCAATCATATTGTTTGACAAGTGAAAATATCTTTAGTATTTGAAAATATTGTGCATATTCTTCCTATAATAAGGTATTATGAGTACTGTATAACTCCCATTTCAGGTGTACACATTGGTCATATTGAGCTAAAGGCTGGGATGGTGACAACAATGGCTCACTCTAGTGAGACGACTTTGACTGTGCTGACGCCTCGCACAGTCCTCTTCTTGGACTTGGTGGGCAACTCTTTAGTTACAACACGAGGTCATGTTACCCCTGACCTTCTCCCACGTGATGTTGCCTTTAATGGATTGGGCGTATCTCCAGTATGTATCATTTACTGTATTATCAGTGAGAGGAATCTGATAACATGAACCTAACTCTGATTTGTTTTGTGATATTTGATTGAAGTATGGAATAGTTCTTAGCTTTCAAAACTGACATATGTTTCAGTCAATCCTGGACCATTATTAAATCATAAGTAAGAAAAAATTGGAAGCTTTTCATTGGTGAAATATATGATCCAGGGTAATCTTTGGTGGTTATAACCACAAGCAAATTTAATGTGTGGTATGACATGCATTAAAATAAATTTGGATGTACAGTACAGTACTATTATGTATGAACATAGCATCTTAGTCTGAATATACCATGTAAGTTTTAAGCATAAAACAAAAGTCTTGTTTTGCAGTTTCCTTATAGTTTACTGAAAGCCCTTTGTAAGCTTTTGGGAATTACTACTATAATCTAACATTTTCTCTGGAGGATGGTCATGTATATGTAGGCTGCAATGATGGCAGCATAGTAGAGTGGAAAGGGAGGACAGCAACTCGACGCGTTGCACCACCAGATGACTCTGAAATCATAACCCCAGTTCGTATGTCAATTGCTGTGGGACAGGGTGCCATCTTCACAGCATGCAGGTAAGGTGCCATCTTTATAGCATGCAGGTATGGTGCCATCTTTATGGCATGTAGGTAAGGTGCCATCTTTATGGCATGTAGGTAAGGTGCCATTTTTATGGCATGTAGGTAAGGTGTGATGAATGGTTTTGAAAACCGACAAGTTGAAGAATTGAGACACTTATGCAACACATGGGAATCTTTATTGAAGAAACGTTTCACCACACAATGGCTTCATCAGCCCAATATAAAGTAGAAATGGGTAAGGAGAGTAGAAGTTTGAGGTAATCAGTCCCTCAACCTGGAATCGATGTGTTCTGTCCATCACTATCACTCTTGTAGGAAGTGCAGCATAGGGCCAGAGAAGTGGCTTATATACTGCAGTGAGATGAGTTGAAGCAGGAGGAGGCGGGATCACAGTGGGACCTCCCACTAGTGTAAGTAGGTCGTCGTCCAAAGGTTGGGCAAGCATTGAAGTCTTTGTACCAAGATCCCATGATGTTGCAGTGTCTGACAGATGTGATGAATGTTGGTTTTCAAAACCATTCATCACATCACATCTTACTAGTATTACTGAATGAATAATTTTTTAAATACAGTAGTTTGTTATTGTTGTGATCACAGTTAACTACAATTTTTTTTTTCAACAATTTATAAGTGCAATAAGAAAGATAGCTAATGACAAATGGACAAGTACAAAAGAGATGCATATTATTTCAAACTGATTTAATGATATTAAGTTTTGTAGGTAGTAGGTTGGTAGACAGCAACCACCCAGGGAGGTGGTTGCTGTAATTGTTTTACATGATGGTAGGATTGCTGATGTCTTTTGTATGTCTCATAAATATGCAAGATTACAGGTATGTCTTGCTACTTCTACTTACACTTAGGTCACACTACACATACATGTACACATTTATTTATACACACTCATCTGAGTTTTCTTTGATTTTATCTTAATAGTTCTTGGTCTTATTACTTTTCCTTTTATATCCATGGGGAAGTGGAATAAGAATCTTTCCTCCGTAAGCCATGCGTGTTGTAAAAGTCAACTAAAATGCCGGGAACAATGGGCTAGTAACCCCTTTTCCTGTAAAGATTACTAAAAATAATAATAAGAAGAAAATTGTCAAAGTGGGAAGTCTGAATGTGCGTGGATGTTGTGCAAATGATAAGAAAGAGATGATTGTGGATGTTTTTGAATGAGAAGAAGCGGGATGTCCTGGCTTTAAGTAAAAACAAAGCTAAAGGGGGGTGGGAGAGTTTCAATGGAGAGGAATAAATGGGATTAGGTCAGGGGTTTCAAATAGAGTTAGAGCTAAAGAAGGAGTAACAATAATGTTGAAGGATAAGCTATGGCATGAAAAGAGGGACTATAAATGTATTAATTCAAGGATTATGTGGAGTAAAATAAAGATTGGATGTGAAAAGTGGGTTATAATAAGCGTGTATGCACCTGGAGAAGAGAGAGGTGTAGAGGAGAGAGAGAGAGGTTATGGGAAATGTTGAGTGAATGCATGGGGAGTTTTGAATAAAGTGCGAGAGTAATGGTGGTTGGGGATTTCAATGCTAAAGTGGGTAAAAATGTTATGGAGGGAGTAGTAGGTAAATTTGGGGTGCCAGGGGTAAATGTAAATGGGGAGCCTTTAATTGAGCTGTGTAGAAAGAGATTTGGTATTAAGTAATACATATTTTATGAAAAAAGAGGATAAATAAATATACAAGGTATGATGTAGCACGTAATGAAAGTAGCTTATTAGATTATGTATTGGTGGATAAAAGGTTGATGGGGAGGCTCCAGGATGTACATGTTTATAGAGGGGCAAACTGATATATCGGGTCATTATTAGTTGTAGCTACAGTTAGAGTAAAGGTGATGGGAAAAGAGGAAGGTGGGAACAACAAGAGGGAGGTGAAAGTGTATAAACTAAGAGAGAGGAAGTTCGGGTGAGATATAAGCGACTATTGGGAGAAAAGGTGGGCTAGTGCAAAGATGAGTAATGTGGGGGGGTTGAAGAGGGTTGGAATACTTTTTAAAAATGCAATATTAGAATGTGGGGCAGAAGTTTGTGGTTATAGGAGGGTGGGGGGCAGGAGGAAAGAGGATATTTGGGGGAATGGTGAAGTAAAGGGTGTGAAAAAAGAGAAAAAGGTAGCTTATGAGAGGTTTTTACAAAGAAGTGTTATAAGAAGAGCAGAGTATATGGAGAGTAAAAGAAAGGTGAAGAGAGTGGTGATCAAGTGCAAAAGGAGAGCAGATGATAGAGTGGGAGAGGCACTGTCAAGAAATTTTAATGAAAATAAGAAAAAAATTTGGAGTGAGTTAAAACAAGTTAAGAAAGCCTAGGGAAAGTATGGATTTGTCAGTTAAAAACAGAGTAGGGGAGTTAGTAGATGGGGAGATGGAGGTATTAGGTAGATGGCGAGAATATTTTGAGGAACTTTTAAATGTTAAGGAAGAAAGAGAGGCAGTAATTTCATGCACTGGTCAGGGAGGTATACCATCTTTTAGGAGTGAAGAAGAGCAGAATGTAAGTGTGGGGGAGGTACGTGAGGCATTACGTAGAATGAAAGGGGGTAAAGCAGCTGGAACTGATGGGAATCATGACAGAAATGTTAAAAGCAGGGGGGGATATAGTGTTGGAGTGGTTGGTACTTTTGTTTAATAAATGTATGAAAGAGGGGAAGGTACCTAGGGATTGGCGGAGGGCATGTATAGTCCCTTTACATAAAGGGAAAGGGAACAAAAGAGACTAAAAATTATAGAGGAATAAGTTTACTGAGTATACCAGGAAAAGTGTACGGTAGGGTTATAATTGAAAGAATTAGAGGCAAGACAGAATGTAGGATTGCGGATGAGCAAGGAGGTTTCAGAGTGGGTAGGGGATGTGTAGATCAAGTGTTTACATTGAAGCATATATGTGAACAATATTTAGATATATGTAGTTGTAGTTGTAGCTACAGTTAGAGTAAGAGGTAGATGGGAAAAGAGGAAGGTGGCAACAACAAGTAAAAGGGAGGTGAAAGTGTATAAACTAAGGGAGGAGGAAGTTCGGGCGAGATATAAGCGACTATTGGCAGAAAGGTGGGCTAGTGCAAAGATGAGTAGTGGGGGGGTTGAAGAGGGTTGGAATAGTTTTAAAAATGCAGTATTAGAATGTGGGGCAAGAAGTTTGTGGTCATAGGAGGGTGGGGCAGGAGGAAAGAGGAGTGATTGGTGGAATGAAGAAGTAAAGGGTTGTGATAAAAGAGAAAAAGGTAGCTTACGAGAGGTTTTTACAAAGCAGAAGTGTTACAAGAAGAGCAGAGTATATGGAGAGTAAAAGAAAGGTGAAGAGAGTGGTGAGAGAGGTGCAAAAGGAGAGCAGATGAAAGAGTGGGAGAGGCACTGTCAAGAAATTTTAATGAAAATAAGAAAAAATTTTGGAGTGAGTTAAACAAGTTAAGAAAGCCTAGGGAAAGTATGGATTTGTCAGTTAAAAACAGAGTAGGGGAGTTAGTAGATGGGGAGAGGGAGGTATTAGGTAGATGGCAAGAATATTTTGAGGAACTTTTAAATGTTGAGGAAGAAAGGGAGGCGGTAATTTCATGCACTGGCCAGGGAGGTATACCATCTTTTAGGAGTGAAGAAGAGCAGAATGTAAGTGTGATGGAGGTACGTGAGGCATTACGTAGAATGACAGGGGGTAAAGCAGCTGGAACTGATGGAATCATGACAGAAATGTTAAAAGCAGGGGGGGATATAGTGTTGGAGTGGTTGGTACTTTTGTTTAATAAATGTATGAAAGAGGGGAAGGTACCTAGGGATTGGCGGAGAGCATGTATAGTCCCTTAATAAAAAGGGAAAGGGGACAAAAGAGATTGTAAAAATTATAGAGGAATAAGTTTACTGAGTATACCAGGAAAAGTATACGGTAGGGTTATAATTGAAAGAATTAGAGGTAAGACAGAATGTAGAATTGCGGATGAGCAAGGAGGCTTCAGAGTGGGTAGGGGATGTGTAGATCAAGTGTTTACATTGAAGCATATATGTGAACAGTATTTAGATAAAGGTAGGGAAGTTTTATTGCATTTATGGATTTAGAAAAGGCATATGATAGAGTGGATAGAGGAGCAATGTGGCAGATGTTGCAAGTATATGGAATAGGTGGTAAGTTATTAAATGCTGTAAAGAGTTTTTATGAGGATAGTGAGGCTCAGTTTAGGGTGTGTAGAAGAGAGGGAGACTACTTCCCGGTAAAAGTAGGTCTTAGACAGGGATATGTAATGTCACCAATGTTGTTTAATATATTTATAGATGGGGTTTGTAAAGGAAGTAAATGCTAGGGTGTTCGGGAGAGGGGTGGGATTAAATTATGGGGAATCAAATTCAAAATGGGAATTGACACAGTTACTTTTTGCTGATGATACTGTGCTTATGGGAGATTCTAAAGAAAAATTGAAAGGTTAGTGGATGAGTTTGGGAATGTGTGTAAAGGTAGAAAGTTGAAAGTGAACATAGAAAAGAGTAAGGTGATGAGGGTATCAAATGATTTAGATAAAGAAAAATTGGATATCAAATTGGGGAGGAGGAGTATAGAAGAAGTGAATGTTTTCAGATACTTGGGAGTTGACATGTCGGCGGATGGATTTATGAAGGATGAGGTTAATCATAGAATTGATGAGGGGAAAAAAGGTGAGTGGTGCGTTGAGGTATATGTGGAGTCAAAAAAGTTATCTATGGAGGCAAAGAAGGGAATGTATGAAAGTTATAGTGTACCAACACTCTGATATGGGTGTGAAGCTTGGGTGGTAAATGCAGCAGCGAGGAGACGCTTGGAGGCAGTGGAGATGTCCTGTTTAAGGGCAATGTGTGGTGTAAATATTATGCAGAAAATTCGGAGTGTGGAAATTAGGAAAAGGTGTGGAGTTAATAAAAGTATTAGTCAGAGGGCAGAAGAGGGGTGTTGTTGAGGTGGTTTGGTCATTTAGAGAGAATGGATCAAAGTAGAATGACATGGAAAGCATTTAAATATATAGGGGAAGGAAGACGGGGTAGGGGTCATTCTCGAAAGGGTTGGAGAGAGGGGGTAAAGGAGGTTTTTTGAGCAAGGGGCTTGGGCAAGCATGCATGAGCGTGTTAGATAGGAGTGAATGGAGACGAATGGTACTTGGGACCTGACGATCTGTTGGAGTGTGAGCAGGGTAATATTTAGTGAAGGGATTCAGGGAAACTGGTTATTTTCATATAGTCGGACTTGAGTCCTGGAAATGGGAAGTACAATGCCTGCACTTTAAAGGAGGGGTTTGGGATATTGGCACTTTGGAGGGATATGTTGTGTGTCTTTATATGTGTATGCTTCTAAACTGTTGTATTCTGAGCACCTCTGCAAAAACAGTGATAATGTGTGAGTGTGGTGAATGTGTTGAATGATGAAAGTATTTTCTTTTTGGGGATTTTCTTTCTTTTTTGGGTCACCCTGCCTCGGTGGGAGATGGCCGACTTGTTGAAAAAAAAAAAAAAAGTTTTGTGGAGTGATTGAAAAGAGATGAAGATATAGCAATTTAGCAGCTGAGTTACAATAGAAATACAGTGGGGCAAGATGTTACCAATTTTTTTTTTAATTCGCCGGCTATCTCCCACTGAGGCAGGGTGACCCAAAAAATAAAGAAAAACACTTTCACTATCATTCAACACCTTTCACCATCATTCATACATAATCACTGTCTTTGCAGCGGCACTCAGATACGACAGTTCAGATGTCACTCCAAACAGCCAATATCCCAAACCCCTCCTTTAAGTGCAGGCATTGTACTCCCCACCTCCAGGATTCAAGTCCGACTAACCAGTTTCCCTGAATCATGTCACAAAATATTACCCTGCTCACACTCCAAGAGCTTGTCAAGTCCCAAAAACCATTCATCTTCATTCACTCCTATCTAATACCCTTACACATGCCTGTTGTATGTCCAAGCCCAATATGTTACCAGTATGTATGGAAATTGAAGGAAACCTGGAAGAACAGGGACAGAATTGGATGAAAGCTGATTTTATTTGACAAAGAGTATTGCTGTCTTAATTATGTTAGAGATAAGGTGCTTTTTTAACAATAGCTCTGAATCTGAATGCATAATCTTCACTGCAGCTCCAAGTTCTCTAGCACATTATGTTCTTTTATCTAATTTTAATACAATGCAAACAGTTTTCCCTGGGATAATATCAGGATTGGCAATCTAATTTATAAATGTAATTGACCTTTTTACTTTAGCCCACTTTTTTTTTTTTCAGAAGATTTATATAAATAAGTAGAATTTCCTCTTGAAAAAGCTTAAAATGTTAAACTATTTTGTTGACAGACTAGACTCTGTGATTGTCGTCCGGTGTTATACAACAGACTCTGATGAGCTGCGCTTCTTCTCGGATTCTCACATTACAGCACCAACCGGTAACTGGACTCCCATCTCTGCTAGATTAGGAGCAGCTCTGCTTGTTCTGGGATCACGAAAAAATCATCCTTTTATTATTTTAGATCTGAAGTCTGGAAAGTTTACTTTGATAGAACATGTTTGAATAAGAACAATTTTTTTTTTTTTTTTTCAACTTGAAATCATTTTGCTTATATGAGCTCTTTAGGTGCCTCTCTTGGGAGACGACCAACTTGTTGAAAAAAAAAAAAAAAATATTTATATCATTGCATATATTTATATATATCATTGCATCACATTTGAAATTTTTAATGTAAAAATATTGTTTGATTATAAGAACACATATAAGACTTAAGGATTAGCATTGAAAGCAATGCTTCTTGACATGCTCTCTGTATAGTCCTTGTGGCTTAGCGCTTCTTTTTGATTATAATAATAATAATTGACATGCTCTGTCACTATTTAGCATTCTCATATTTATATGTAATACGGTTCCTCAACCTGGATCCACATGCCATGTGTGAGCCTCTTGTGTATGTACTGTATTTTCCTTCTACTTTTTTACTGTGTAATTGTAATTTTTTTGTGAATATGTCTATATAATGCATTAAAGCAATAGATATCTCACCTGACCCCTTTTTCTTTATGCTTACCTGTTACTGTAAACACATGTCGAACAAAAGAGGAAAAAGAATCAAGATATACAAAATACTATGTGCATACATAATGAAAGAAACGTCAGTGTGTGAGTAGTGAAGAAGTGGAACAAGCTACACAACACCGCAGGAGCAGCTTACTGCATATAGGAGTTTAAAATGTAATAAGAGCTAATTCTTCAGTCAGTTTTATTCTTATCTAGATTAGACTTTGGGCACCAGACAATGTTTCTTCTATTTTTTCCATCCATGTGTTTTATGAATGTGGTTGGAGGGATCAAATCTTAGCTCCTGCCTAAGTATGGTAGCACTGTGTACGTTTGTTGTCAGTACCAACTAACAAATTATATAACATTGTAGGTTTTGGTTAAAGTTACTATAGCCCATAGGTAGAAAGTAGAATAAATATACAAGAAGCAATAATTCAACTATCAAAATAAAAGGAAGTAACAGACTTGGCTAAATTAGCCATCACTAAGAATGTTCATGGGCACAATAGTGTATGGCATTTCATCGATTGTTGCACTAGGTGCAAAGAAATGTACCTAGTGCATTTCTTTGCTTCCACCCTCCAAAGGGGGCACACTGAGGCTGGTGATTTAAGAAATTGGAGCTACCCTCCCTCTTCTTAGATCAAACTTGATTCCTTCCCATTTCTAGAGTGCTGTATGACCCCTCTCGAGTTTAGAGCTTCCACATAAACATAATAATAATCCATCGCAAATAAGCTAGGGACACTGGTTCTGTGTATTACTGTACAAGTTTTCCTAACACATATACGTATCTGTATGCACAACAAAAAAATGTTCTCCTTCCATATGATTAACACATGTTTTTTCTCACTACCACATGTATATAGTTATTTTTTATTTTACTAGTGTTAACTAAAACTAATTGTATGTATAAGTTTCTTCTTTCAACACACCGGCCGTATCCCACCAAGGCGGGATGGCCCAAAAGGAAAAACGAAAGTTTCTCCTTTTACATTTAGTAATATATACAGGAGAAGAGGTTACTAGCCCCTTGCTCCATGTATAAGTTTATTATTATTATTATTATTATTATTACTACTATTATTATTACTATTATTATTATTATTATTATTATTACTTTTCTTTCAACAAACCGGCCGTATCCCACCGAGGCATTATTATTACTATTATTATTATTACTATTATTATTATTATTATTATTTTATAAATTTAAGATAACTCCAAATATATTTACAGCATTATATAAAAATGAATCGTCAATAAAATCATACTGTTATTAAACAAATGAAAACCAGAGTAAAATGAAAAAATGTAATAAACATTTACAGTATATTCTGAAATTTTAATGTAATAAGGTACTCAGCATATAACTACTGGACCTTCTCCAAACTACATTGATAGTTTATTGTAATCAGTTTTAGGGACTGAAATGTTGACTGATTGGGTACAGATGAAATGCAGCCATAATGACCCTCATTCCTCTTAGTTTTAGTGCTTAATTTGATTATATTATAATTATTATTATTAATGACCCTCATGCATTCAAGAGGCATGAAAACTAACTACAGTAGAAATAAATATTAACGAAATTATACAGCAGATACTAAAACTACACATCTTGGTCTTTATCCTTGGGAAGGAGCTGTTCAGTTCCCATGTTAATAATAGTGACTTGTCAGGATTCAGCATGTGGAGCTTGTCTATAACATCATACAGGAGTGACATAAATGATGAGGGTTATGATGAAGGTGATGATGAAGATGAGGGCAGCGATGCGGTCGACAGCAGCAGCCACCAGGAGCCACTCGTGGAGGTAGGAGGTAGAACATGTCTCCTTCAAAACTTCACCGTCCTCAGCACTTCCTCCACTCAGGCCAACCTACATCACATACAAACATTATACTAAAGTCTTTTATTATAATTTTTATCATGTGTGTGAGTACTGTAAATAGGGTTTAAGGAAGTGGCATACTGTATTTTATTAGCAATATAAAGAGAGCCTCCCTTAAGGAAGTTTTCTTGATGCCAGTAAAGGGCTTGTGATCTAAGGCATTAGAGCTACCCTCCTTTTTCATTAATCAAACCTGATTACCTACCATTCCTCAGGTGCTATATGACCCCTATGGGTTTAGCACTTTCACATAATATATTTTTTTTTTAACACACTGGCCATCTCCCACTGAGGTAGATAGGTAGGGTTATAATATAATAATGAGTGTAATAATCAGGGTAGAGTACAAATTCAATCAGTCAAATCTGGGTCCTGAGTGTAATAGTGTATCTTCTTGAAGAAGAATATATATATACATGTGATGTCACCGTGGTTGTTTAATATATTTATAGATGGGGTTGTAAGAGAAGTAAATGCGAGGGTCTTGGCAAGAGGCGTGGAGTTAAAAGATAAAGAATCACACACAAAGTGGGAGTTGTCACAGCTGCTCTTTGCTGATGACACTGTGCTCTTGGGAGATTCTGAAGAGAAGTTGCAGAGATTGGTGGATGAATTTGGTAGGGTGTGCAAAAGAAGAAAATTAAAGGTGAATACAGGAAAGAGTAAGGTTATGAGGATAACAAAAAGATTAGGTGATGAAAGATTGAATATCAGATTGGAGGGAGAGAGTATGGAGGATGTGAACGTATTCAGATATTTGGGAGTGGACGTGTCAGCGGATGGGTCTATGAAAGATGAGGTGAATCATAGAATTGATGAGGGAAAAAGAGTGAGTGGTGCACTTAGGAGTCTGTGGAGACAAAGAACTTTGTCCTTGGAGGCAAAGAGGGGAATGTATGAGAGTATAGTTTTACCAACGCTCTTATATGGGTGTGAAGCGTGGGTGATGAATGTTGCAGCGAGGAGAAGGCTGGAGCAGTGGAGATGTCATGTCTGAGGGCAATGTGTGGGTGTGAATATAATGCAGAGAATTCGTAGTTTGGAAGTTAGGAGGAGGTGCGGGATTACCAAAACTGTTGTCCAGAGGGCTGAGGAAGGGTTGTTTGAGGTGGTTTCGGACATGTAGAGAGAATGGAGCGAAACAGAATGACTTCAAGAGTGTATCAGTCTGTAGTGGAAGGAAGGCGGGGTAGGGGTCGGCCTAGGAAGGGTTGGAGGGAGGGGGTAAAGGAGGTTTTGTGTGCGAGGGGCTTGGACTTCCAGCAGGCATGCGTGAGCGTGTTTGATAGGAGTGAATGGAGACAAATGGTTTTTAATACTTGACGTGCTGTTGGAGTGTGAGCAAAGTAACATTTATGAAGGGATTCAGGGAAACCGGCAGGCCGGACTTGAGTCCTGGAGATGGGAAGTACAGTGCCTGCACTCTGAAGGAGGGGTGTTAATGTTGCAGTTTAAAAACTGTAGTGTAAAGCACCCTTCTGGCAAGACAGTGATGGAGTGAATGATGGTGAAAGTTTTTCTTTTTCGGGCCACCCTGCCTTGGTGGGAATCGGCCGGTGTGATAATAAAATAAAAAAAATAAAATGTATATATATTTTTCTTTTTAGTAGGCAGGCTAATATTCAGTGAAGAGATTCAGGGAAACCGGTTATTTTTATATAGCCAGACTTGAGTTCTGGAAATGGGAAGTACAATGCCTGCACTTTAAAGGAGGGTTTTGGGATATTGGCAGTTTGGTGGGATGTGTAATTGGACTGTATATATATAATTGGGGCCCCTGATATTGTAATTATTTCAGGTCAGTTTTCATATTATATCTTTATACATGCTTTTAAATCGTTGTATCTGGGCGCCTCTGCAAAAACAGTGATTATGTATGAGTGAGGTGAAAGTTTTGAATGATGATGAAACTATTTTCGTTTTGGGGATTTTCTTTCTTTTTGGGTCACCCTGCCTGGGTTGGAAATGGCCGACTTGTTGAAAAAAAAATGTATATATATGCCAATAGTGGTTTTTTTGTGATGTCTAATGTTTGTGGCATGGGTGAAAAGTGTCTTTCCCATGCTTAGAATATGTAACATAATTATTCATATGTCACAATAAAATTTTTTTTCAACACCGGCCATCTCCCACCAAGGTGGAGGTGACCCCAAAAAAGAAAGAAACAATCTCACCATCATTCACACATATTAACTGTCTTCACAGAAGCATGCAAATGTGACAGTTCAGATGTCACTCCAAACAGCCAATATTCCAAACCCTCTTAAAGTGCAGGTATTGTACTTCCCACCTCCAGGACTCAAGTCTGGCCAACTGGTTTCCTTGAATCCCTTCACAAATTATTACCCTGCTTGCACTCCAACAGCTCATCAAGTTCCATTCACTCCCATCTAACACATTCACACATGCCTGCTGTATGTCCAAGCCCCTTGCACACAAACCTCTTTTACCCCCTCCCCTCCATCCTTTCCTAGGATGACCCCTACCCCTCCTCCTCTCCACTACATATTTATACACCCTCCAAGTCATCCTATTTTGCTCCATCCTCTCTAAATAACTAAACCACCTCAACAACTCCTCCTCAGCCCTCTAAATAATACTTTTATTAACCCCATACCTCCTCCTAATTTCCACACTATGAATTCTCTGTATAATATTAACACACATTGCCCTTAGACATGACATCTCTACCGTCTCCAGCCTACTTCTTGCTGCAGCATTTACAACCCATGCTTCACACCCATATAAGAATGGTGATACTACTATACTCTCATACATTCCTTTTTTTTGCTTCCATGGATAACATTCTTTGTCTCTGCAGATACCTCAATGCACCAACCACCTTTTTTTCTTCATCAATTCTGTGGTTTACCTCATCCTTCATAAACCCTTCCACTGACTTTCTTAACACAACTGGGCATATTGGCAATGTGTATGCCTGTCACAAAGTGCCATATATAACTTGCAAGGTTACAACAAGAATTGAGTGCCTAACACCATTATGCAAAAAAATAATAAAAATGTTTTCCATCATAAAATGGGTTTAATTCATTTCACAACACATGAAGTAGTGAAATATGTCAGCCTGGGGTAGGAGACTAGTAGGATAAGAATATCAAGCATTCCACCATGGGCTCTAGCTATGACAGCTCTACAGGTTTCCTTCTAGCAAGGCTGGAGTTGCATACATAAACACAGAGATGACCATTCTGAATGGCCTATGCCATAGGTTACATGTATGTACTGTGTTTCTTCAAGACATCAGTCTTCTTCACTAAGACTACATCAGAACATGTTTCAGGAGTCACTGGCAGACAAACTAGGCTAATAGGCTGGAAAGAATATGTTAGCTCCCAAAAAAGTAGCAACACTAATATAAAATGTATGTATTAATATTATTTATCACAGAACTGTAGAATCTGCAGTAATATCAGTGATAGTACCCCAGAGGAACTAAGTCACAATATCTGACGTTATTCTATATTAAATCTACTTAATTTATAAATATGTAATATATGCCTACAACATCTATGTACCCTTGGAATTACTCTACCAGTTTATACCAATGTCTGTAAAATCACCTAATATATAGAGCTTATTTTATCTTTACTGTACCTTCTCAGCATAACGTTGGATGCAGAGGATAGTGGCCAGAGGTCCTGTGAGAATGGTCTTTAGCAGAGGTGGGGGTGGCACTGAGACTGCAGCAGGCACACGAGCATCCGTCAGACGCATTATGCTCGCATTCACAATCACGCTCACCACCACCACCATCAGTGTTTGCCCGAAGAACTTCACTGCAACACACAATTACTTACTCAATTCTTAAAATTAAGTTAAGATATTTATCACCAGAATGGGTACCATCATTAAATAACTATATACGAGTCTTCACTAATTTTTAGTTGAGATGTTGGACTTACCAATGATGGGAAGGGAGTATGCAAGGGGTGGGAGGGCAGTGGCCAAGTAAAGCAGCATCAACAGTGTCAGGAGGAGGCTGACACAACCTATTGTCAGCCGACGAGACTCCCTCAAGGGAAGCAGGAACTGCACCAGTGTCAGCATGGAGATAACTACAGAAAGACAATATATACCTTATTCCATTTTTATTTTTAATGATGGAGAGTTTCCTTTTTTGGGTCACTACTTGGTGGAAGAAGACCAGAGTGGTAAAAAAAAAAAAACTTGCTCTAATGGTAAGTATTGGGAGGTACTGTATGACACAGATGAATGTTACTAATTTTACTTACTAATCTAACAAAGAACTGGTGCATGGTCCAGGAACCCATTAGTTGCCTCTCATCTTTTGAATACTGCTCACAGGATGGGTGTGGGGTGCACAGTAATGCTATCAAACTGTTTCCATATGGGATTGTTTATGCCACTTACCAGTATTTAATACACTTTTGGACTTGGAAGCTGTTACGGCCCCCTGCCAAACTAGCGGTTAAATAGTTAACCTGCCGGCCGGCAATACCACTGGGTACGTCATCAAACCCATTGTGGGGACTGCTGAGCCGGCCTTAGAGCATTATGTACCTGAACACCTCACGGTACGCATCTACTGGCTTTAAAAGCATTAAGTACCTGAACACCTCACGGTACGCATCTAAGCAGTAGGTACCTGAACACCTAATGGTACACATCTACTGGCCTTAGAAGCAGTAGGTACCTAAACGCCTAATGGTACACATCTACTGGCAGTAGAGTATTCTACTGGCTTCTACTGATTTTAGAAGAAGCGCTCACCGCAGCTCACTGAGTCTGTTGGCCTCAGTTATTTGACGGCCGCATTCAGTGAGCTTGCAACATAGTGTGTGCTGCATCGGACCACCTTGCGGTGTGTCAACTGGTCTTGAAGGTGGTAGATAGTACTCACCAGACCATCTTATGGTGTACTTCTACCGGCCTTAGAGAGTATTTACAGGACTACCGGTGATGTCTGTGGACTCACCGCCTACTCTGGTCAACTGTGGGCCGGAGTCATCGGATGCTGTTTAGTGGGACATTACATGAAGAAAAGGTTGGAGTGTTACACTGAACTGGGCTAGGACCATAGTGTGACACTTAGGGAAGTATGATGGAGTGGAACACTGAGATATGCTACAGGACCGTAGTGGAACACTGAGAAGAAAAGGGTGTCGTGTGACACTGAAGATGGTCAGGTTGTAGTGTACATTGAATAGTGTCATGTGACTGGCCTCGACAAAGACGCTATGCGGGTAGTGTGACGCAGAGACAAGGGTGTCAAGTGTGACACGGTTGCGAAAGTGTGTGTATTACACGGAGAAAAGGGTGTCAAGTGACACGGTGGAGAAAGAGCGTCACAACTCGGATAAGTGTCGTGAGAAACGCAGTTGATTGTAATTTATTATTTTAAATGTTACTTAATTTATTATTTTAGCATAGATATATAGTGACACAGGAGTGTCAAGAAAGTTGTACCCTGTGTAGGGTTACAAATTATTTATTATTTTAGTAAAATGCTAATTATAATTTATTATTGTAACATTTTTTTTTTTTTTTCAACAAGTCGGCCGCCTCCCACCGAGGCAGGGTGACCCAAAAAAGAAAGAAAATCCCCAAAAAGAAAATACTTTCATCATCATTCAATACTTTCACCACACTCACACATTATCACTGCTTTTGCAGAGGTGCTCAGAATACAACAGTTTAGAAGCATATACGTATAAAGATACACAACATATCCCTCCAAAGTGCCAATATCCCAAACCCCTCCTTTAAAGTGCAGGCATTGTACTTCCCATTTCCAGGACTCAAGTCCGACTATATGAAAATAGCCGGTTTCCCTGAATCCCTTCACTAAATATTACCCTGCTCACACTCCAACAGATAAGAACATAAGAACATAAGAACGAAGGAACACTGCAGAAGGCCTACTGGCCCATGCGAGGCAGGTCCAAGTCTCCTACCGGCTTAAGCCAATGCACCCAACCTAGTCAGGTCAGGTCACATTGACTTAAGGAAGGAACACGGCAACCGACCTGGTAGCACAAGCTATCAGGTCTAACTCACACCCACCCACATCTACTCATGTATTTATCCAACCTATTTTTAAAGCTACACAACGTTCTGGCCTCTATAACGGTACTTGGGAGTTTGTTCCACTCATCCACAACTCTATTACCAAACCAGTACTTTCCTATATCCTTCCTGAATCTGAATTTTTCCAACTTAAAACCATTGCTGCGAGTCCTGTCTAGGCTAGATATTTTCAGCACACTATTTACATCCCCTTTATTTATTCCTATCTTCCATTTATACACCTCAATCATATCCCCCTAATTCTACGTCTTTCTAGAGAGTGCAGATTCAGGGCCCTTAGTCTATCCTCATAGGGAAGGTTTCTGATACATGGGATCAACTTTGTCATCCTCCTTTGTACATTTTCCAGAGAATTTATATCCATTCTGTAATAAGGTGACCAAAACTGTGCAGCATAATCTAAATGAGGCCTAACCAAGGATGTATAGAGTTGAAGAACAACCTGAGGACTCCTATTATTTATGCTTCTTGATATGAAGCCAAGGATTCTATTAGCTTTATTGCGAACACTTATGCACTGTTGTCTTGGTTTCAGATTACTGCTAACCAGAACTCCTAAATCTTTTCGCAATCCGTAATATTAAGATCTACATTATTTAGTTTATATGTGGCATGGTTATTGTCCTGTCCAACATTTAGAACTTTGCATTTGTCTATATTAAACTGCATCTGCCACTTCTCCGACCACTGCATCAGTCTATTCAAATCTTCCTGGAGTGCTCGAATGTCCTCGTCAGAATGAATTCGACGGCCTATTTTGGTGTCATCGGCAAACTTGCCGATGTCGCTCTTTATGCCCTCATCTATGTCGTTTATGTAGATTGTGAACAGCAGGGGGCCCAACACTGACCCCTGTGGAACACCGCTCGTGACACTTCCCCACTCTGATTTCTCCCCATTTATGCAGACTCTCTGCTGCCTATTTGTCAACCATGCCTCTATCCAGGAAAAAATTTCTCCTCCTATTCCATGTGCTTTAATTTTCCTCAATAGTCTCTGATGTGGGACCCTGTCAAAAGCCTTACTGAAGTCCATATACACAATATCATATTCATTACCATGATCTACCTCCTCAAATACCTTAGTGAAAAAAGTTAATAAATTCGTAAGGCAGGAACGCCCCTTTGTAAAACCATGCTGAGATTCGTTGATTAATTTATGCTTTTCAAGGTGTCTACGAACTGCCTCGGCAATTTTTGATTCCATAAATTTTCCCACTATGGAGGTTAGGCTTATTGGTCTATAGTTCGAAGCTAAGGACCTGTCACCTGTTTTGAAAATAGGTATCACATTTGCCATTTTCCACTTATCTGGCACCATGCCAGTTTGTAGTGATATGTTGAAAAGATTAGCCAAAGGTGTGCTAAGCTCCTCTTTACATTCCTTTAGAACCCTTGCATACAGTTCATCAGGGCCTGGGGATTTGTTAGGTTTTAATTTATCTATTTGCCTAAGGACCATGTCACTTGTGACCCTAACAGTGCACAGTTTATTATCGTCCTGTTCTACATAATTTATCATTACTGGAATATCGCTGGTATCCTCCTGTGTAAAAACTGAGAGGAAGTATGTGTTAAATATTCTACACATTTCCTTATCACTGTCAGTGAGCTGACCCGAGGAACTTTTGAGTGGGCCTATCTTGTCCCTGATCTTACTCCTGTATACCTGAAAGAATCCTTTTGGGTTAGTCTTCGATTCTCTTGCAACTTTAACCTCATAATCTCTTTTTGCTTTTCTAATTCCCTTTTTTATTTCTCTCTTTAACTGAATATATCGATTTCTCAATTGCCCCTCTCCTCTTTTGATTTGCCTATATATGCCTCTCTTTTGACCAATCAGATATTTTAATCTATTGTTCATCCATTTAGGATCATTTTTGTTTGATCTGATTTCCCTATTTGGAACATAATTTGACTGAGCAGCTAGAACTATGCCCTGGAAAGCATCATATCGGCAACCATCACCACCTACCTGACCCTTAGTCAGGTCATTCCAGTTCAGCCCACCTAAGTAATTTTTCAGTCCTATGAAATCAGCCAAGCGAAAGTCAGGGACGGAGACTTGATTGCCATTATTAGGGGAATTCCATGATATATTAAAACTGAGTGATTTGTGATCACTTTCCCCAAGCTCATCATTAACCTCAAGATTATTAATTAGTGTTTCCCTACTGGCAAGAACCAAGTCAAGGAGGTTATTTCCCCTAGTTGGCTCTGTCACAAACTGTTTTAAAAAACAATCCTGGATCGTATCAAGAAAGTCACCTGACTCTAAATTTCCTGTCAAATTGCTCCAGTCAATCTGTCTATAGTTGAAATCTCCCATTAGCACAACATTTTCGTATGTAGATGCCTTACGAATTTCGTCCCATAGAAGTTTACTGCACTCCCTATCAAGATTTGGGGCCCTGTAAATCACACCCAAAATTAGTTTTTCTCGGCCCTCGAGAAGCTGTAACCAAACAGATTCAGTGGCTGACGCTTCTAATTTAATATCTTGTCTAACACAACAATTTAAATTGTCTCTGACATACATCGCTACTCCACCACCTTTCCTGTTGACCCTGTCAGTGTGGAATAATTTATAGCCTTGTATGTGACATTCAGAGGGCATCTCTCTATCTTTCAGATTGAGCCAGGTCTCTGTTATAGCAATAATATCAATGTTTCCTGCACTTGCAATTAATCTTAGCTCATCTATCTTATTTCTTACACTCCTGCTATTAGTATAGTAAACCTTAAGGGAGCTAGTCCCTTGCTGCCCTTTGCTGTCCCCCTTTGTTTGCTGACCTGATTTATTGTCTTTATTTATAACTTCATGCTGAATGCCTTTTATACATTTACTGTTTCCAACCCAAGTGTTGCAACCTGCTTGTTTCCCACACACACCCATACCTCTATCTTCCATCAGTTTAAAATCAAAGGCATTTCACCAATGGCCTTCTCAATCGAGTCTGCAAGTGCTACCACCCCAGCCCCAGAGAGATGTACCCCATCCCTTGCATACATATCATGTTTGCCATAAAAGTTGTTCCAGTTGTCAATGAATGGGATTGCAAGTTCCTTGCAGTATCTGTCTAGCCAGCAATTTACACCAATTGCCCTAGACAACCATTCATTTCCTACTCCCCTTCTAGGCAAGATGCTACATATGATTGGGATCCCTCCCTTAGACTTAATGAAATCTATAGCTGACCTGTACTTATCTAGCAGCTCTTCTCTCCTACCCTTCCCAATATCATTTCCACCAGCACTGAGACAGATAATGGGCTTGCTCCCATTACCTGACATGATATTATCCAGCCTGTTGACAATGTCCCCAACACCAGCTCCAGGGAAGCACACTCTATCTCTCATCTTCTTATTCCTATTACAAAAAGCACGGTCAATGTATCTTACCTGAGAGTCACCAACCACAAGAATGCGCTTACCTCCATTAGCAGGGGCAGTAGTACCCTTACCTTCACTGGCCACTGAAGTACATTCATCCTGAAGAACAGAGAAGCGATTTCCTACCTTCAGATCTTCACTCTTAACTTTCCTTACTCTGATGCGCCTTCCATTACTGTGAACTACTCGCCACTTGTAGCAGGTGCTGGGCTGCACCTCACTGCTGGTAGCCGTTGCTGCCTCCCCAACTACAGCCAGATCAGCAGATCGTCAGGTCCCAAGTATCATTCGTTTCCATTCACTCCTATCTAACACGCTCATGCACGCTTGCTGGAAGTCCAAGCCCCTTGCCCACAAAACCTCCTTTACCCCCTCTTTCCAACCCTTTTGAGGACGACCCCTACCCCTCCTTCCTTCCCCTATAGATTTATAAGCTTTCCATGTCATTCTACTTTGATCCATTCTCTCTAAATGACCAAACCACCTCAACAACCCCTCTTCTGCCCTCTGACTAATGCTTTTATTAACTCCACACCTTCTCCTAATTTCCACACTCCGAATTTTCTGCATAATATTTACACCACACATTGCCTTTAGACAGGACATCTCCACTGCTTCCAACCGTCTCCTCACTGCTGCATTTACCACCCAAGCTTCACATTCATATAAGAGTGTTGGTACTACTATACTTTCATACATTCCCTTCTTTGCCTCCATAGATAACGTTTTTTGACTCCACATATACCTCAACGCACCACTCACCTTTTTTCCCTCATCAATTGTATGATTAACCTCATCCTTCATAAATCCATCCGCCGACACGTCAACTCCCAAGTATCTGAAAACATTCACTTCTTCCATACTCCTCCTCCCCAATTTGATATCCAATTTTTCTTTATCTAAATCATTTGATACTCTCATCACCTTACTCTTTTCTATGTTCACTTACAACTTTCTACCTTTACACACATTCTCAAACTCATCCACTAACCTTTGCAATTTTTCTTTAGAATCTCCCATAAGCACAGTATCATCAGCAAGAAGTAACTGTGTCAGTTCCCATTTTGAATTTGATTCCCCATAATTTAATCCCACCCCTCTCCCGAACACCCTAGCATTTACTTCTTTTACAACCCCATCTATAAATATATTAAACAACCATGGTGACATTACACATCCCTGTCTAAGACCTACTTTTACCAGGAAGTAGTCTCCCTCTCTTCTACACACTCTAACCTGAGCCTCACTATCCTCATAAAAACTCTTTACAACATTTAGTAACTTACCACCTATTCCATATACTTGCAACATCTGCCACATTGCTCCTCTATCCACTCTATCATATGCCTTTTCTAAATCCATAAATGCAATAAAAACTTCCCTACCTTTATCTAAATACTGTTCACATATATGCTTCAATGTAAACACTTGATCTACACATCCCCTACCCACTCTGAAGCCTCCCTGCTCATCCGCAATCCTACATTCTGTCTTACCTCTAATTCTTTCAATTATAACCCTACCGTATACTTTTCCTGGTATACTCAGTAAACTTATTCCTCTATAATTTTTACAATCTCTTTTGTCCCCTTTCCCTTTATATAAAGGGACTATACATGCTCTCCGCCAATCCCTAGGTACCTTCCCCTCTTTCATACATTTATTAAACAAAAGTACCAACCACTCCAACGCTATATACCCCCCTGCTTTTAACATTTCTGTCATGATCCCATCAGTTCCAGCTGCTTTACCCCCTTTCATTCTACATAATGCCTCATGTGCCTCCACCACACTTACATTCTGCTCTTCTTCACTCCTAAAAGATGGTATACCTCCCTGGCCAGTGCATGAAATTACCGCCTCCCTTTCTTCCTCAACATTTAAAAGTTCCTCAAAATATTCTCGCCATCTACCTAATACCTCCCTCTCCCCATCTACTAACTCCCCTACTCTGTTTTTAACTGACAAATCCATACTTTCCCTAGGCTTTCTTAACTTGTTTAACTCACTCCAAAATTTTTTCTTATTTTCATTAAAATTTCTTGACAGTGCCTCTCCCACTCTTTCATCTGCTCTCCTTTTGCACTCTCTCACCACTCTCTTCACCTTTCTTTTACTCTCCATATACTCTGTAAAAACCTCTCATAAGCTACCTTTTTCTCTTTTATCACACCCTTTACTTCATCATTCCACCAATCACTCCTCTTTCCTCCTGCCCCCACCCTCCTATAACCACAAACTTCTGCCCCACATTCTAATACTGCATTTTTAAAACTATTCCAACCCTCTTCAACCCCCCCACTACTCATCTTTGCACTAGCCCACCTTTCTGCCAATAGTCGCTTATATCTCGCCCGAACTTCCTCCTCCCTTAGTTTATACACTTTCACCTCCCTCTTACTTGTTGTTGCCACCTTCCTCTTTTCCCATCTACCTCTTCCTCTAACTGTAGCTACAACTAAATAATGATCCGATATATCAGTTGCCCCTCTATAAACATGTACATCCTGGAGCCTACCCATCAACCTTTTATCCACCAATACATAATCTAATAAGCTACTTTCATTACGTGCTACATCATACCTTGTATATTTATTTATCCTCTTTAACATTGAAATCCCCAACCACCATTACTCTCACACCTGATTCAAAACTCCCCACGCATTCACTCAACATTTCCCAGAATCTCTCTCTCTCCTCTACACTTCTCTCTTCTCCAGATGCATACACGCTTACTATAACCCACTTTTCACATCCAGTCTTTATTTTACTCCACATAATCCTTGAATTTATACATTTGTAGTCCCTCTTTTCCTGCCATAACTTATCCTTCAACATTATTGCTACTCCTTCTTTAGCTCTAACTCTATTTGAAACCCCTGACCTAATCCCATTTATTCCTCTCCATTGAAACTCTCCCACCCCCTTCAGCTTTGTTTCACTTAAAGCCAGGACATCCAGTTTCTTCTCATTCATAACATCCACAATCATCTCTTTCTTATCATTTGCACAACATCCACGCACATTCAGACTTCCCACTTTGACAATTTTCTTCTTCTTATTCTTTTTAGTAATCTTTACAGGAAAAGGGGTTACTAGCCCATTGTAACATGTATATATATTTAAATACCTCTAGACCAAAGATTGATTTTTATATTATATTAAAGATTAATTTATTTTAATGTGTGTATTTATGTATCCCGAACTCTTTTATTACAAAATGAGAAACTACCATCTTAAAAATAACTTTTTTTGTAATAGAAGCATATTTCAAAACAACAATTATTTTGATAGGTTCATTATGCATCTCACGCCCATCGTGTTGGTAGTAAAAATATCAGAGGCTTATAATGGATTTAGGGATTGAGCACTATTATGAAGAAAAAACATTTGAAATAGAACATACAGCATCTACATTATGTAGGTGATTACTGTAGTGTCCAGCACAAACTGTAAAGTGAAGTACCCACCACAAGCTGGAATGACAACAGTAGAGTTGAAAACAGGAGAGATTCTGGCCATAGTAATGATAACCTTGAGCATGACATAGGGCTCAGGGCAGCAGGCAAGTTTGTTCTGGATCCTAATGATGCTGCCTTTAATGAACTGCCATGAATGAGAGAACTTCATGAACCACCCAGGGTGCACCTGTAATGGTTAGGTTTGTTAGGGCCTATCGATTTTACAGTGCTGAATAACCTATACAGGTTGTGCATTTTTGTGAATATAACAACAAAATGTCTACCAACTTCAGATGGGTCATTAGGGCTTCATTTGATCTGTACACCATTAAGATAAAGAAACAAATGCAGTTAAATGGAATCATTTATTGGCAATGTTTTGCCCACACAATGGCATTCAAGTCATTTGATTGTGACATGATGAAAGCCCAGTGTATGGGTAAATCATCATCAATAAAGGTTTCATATAACTGCATGTGTGCTCTTTACCACTGTGTCAGTATCTCATACCATTACACATCTAATAAGTACACTAACATTAAAAATACTTTAATGGTTAAAATAAAGACTGAAGAGAACTCTCAGTGTCTATATTAGTGTGTGTTGTACCTCTCTTGGTGTATATACTCCTGCAGCAATACTTCCTAAAATTTATATCATGTATCCTCTTTAAACAACAAAAAACATCAAGTTTGCCTCAACTGCTAATTTCATATATAGTAATTAAATCTAATACATTACAGGATACTGAACACTACTAAGCATGATGCCTTAATGCTGGTGAAGAGTTCTTGGTATAAGGAACTGCAACTACCTCTCTTCCTTCCATCAGTCCTGATTACCTTCCATTCCCTAGGTGTTGTGTGATTCTTATGGGTTTAGCACTCCCCCATAAATAAAATAATGATCTACAGTATACAACCTCTTACAAAATTAGAACAACAGATAACTATATTATTCTAACACCAATCACACAGGAAAGCTGATCATTTATATATTTGTAATACACTGTAATAAAAAGGTTATTCATACACTGATTGTAGTACACTTAATTTTTTCAGTTTATAATAACAATGGCAAACACTTCACATGGACAAAGTGCACATTGTTCCAACGTCAGATTTTGCTGCACTAGCTTAGATTTGACATGAACCATTCAAATTTAGAATTTCATATGCAAACATGGATACAGCCATCATACAGGATTTTGTACTAACTCTGTTGCAAATGCTGACAGGACAAGATTATAGCATATACTCAACATACTTATACTTATTCTCATTTAGAGAGAATGGATCAAAGAAGAATGACATGGAGAGCATTTAAATTTGTAGGGGAAGGAAGGCGGGGTAGGGGTCATCCTCGAAAAGGTTGGAAGTAAGGGGTAAGTGAGGTTTTGTGGGCGAGGGGCTTGGACTTCCAGCAGGCGTGCATGAGCATGTTCGATAGGAGTGAATGGAGACGAATGGTATTTGGGACCCGATGAGCTATTGGAGTGTAAGCAGGGTAATATTTAGTGAAGGGATTCAAGGAAACCGGTTATTTTTATATAGCCGGACTTGAGTCCTGGAAATGGGAAGTACAATGCCTGCACTCTAAAGGAGGGGTTCGGGATATTGGAAGTTTGGAGGGATATGTTGTGTATCTTTATACGTATATGCTTCTAAGCTGTCGTGTTCTGAGCACCTCTGCAAAAACAGTGATTATGTGTGAGTGAGGTGAAAGAGTTGAATGATGATGAAAGTATTTTCTTTTTGGGGATTTTCTTTCTCTTCGAGACTTAAAAGTACCAGTATGTGTAAATTCTTATTTCAGTCCATTACTATTAAATATATTCAGGGGGAAACACTAAACTCCTAGGGGTCTTACAACTGTATTTCAGGCTATAAGTGACAGTGGTTTGTATGTACATGAATACTGTGCTTATGTACTGGTACAGTTTTATTTTTGTATTTTATTTTATTAACACATTGGCAGTTTCCCACCATGGCAGGGTGACCCAAAAAAAGAAATATTTTCTTCATCATTCACTCCATCACTGTCTTGCCAGAGGCATGCCTACACTACAGTTAAAAACTGCAACATATCTCCACCTCTCCTTCAGAATGCAGGCACAGTACTTCCCACCTCCAGGACTCAAATTCAACAAACTGGTTTCCCTGAATCCCTTCATATATGTTACTCTGCTCACACTCCAACAGTTCATCAAGTCATAAAAACCATTTGCCTCCACTCACTCCTATCTAACATGCTCATACATGCCTGCTGTATGTCCAAGCCCCTCACACACAAAACTTCCTTTACCTGCTCCCTCCAACCTTTCCTAGGATGACTCCTACCCCTCCTTCCACTACAGATTTATATGTCCTCCAAGTCATCCTATTTTGCTTTATTCCCTCTAAATGACCAAACACCTCAACAACCCCTCTTCAGCCCTCTGGATAATACTTTTAGTAACTCTGCACCTCCTTATCTACAATCTTTGAGTTCTTTGCATAATATTTACACCACACACTGTCCTCAGAAATCACATCTCCACTACGTCCAGCCTTCTCCTCGCTGCAATATTTACAACCCATGCTTCACACTCATATAAGAGTGTTGGTACTACTATACTCTCATACATTTCCCTCTTTGCCTCCTTGGATAACGTTCTTTGTCTCCACAGATACCTCAATGCATTACCTACTTTTTTTTCCCTTCATCAGTTCAATGGTTTATCTCGTCCTTCACATACCCATCAGCTGACATGCCCACTCCCGAATATCTGAACACATTTGCTTCCTCCATACTCCCTCCCTCCAATCTGATATGCAATTTTCATCACTTAATTTGTTTGATACCCTCATCACCTCACTCTTATCTGTCTTCACTTTCAACTTCCTTCCTTTACACACTCTCCCAAACTTGCCCACTAACCTTTGCAACTTCTCTTCAGAATCTCCCAAAAGCACAGTACAGTATTACCTGGAGTTTACCTGGAGAGAGTTCCGGGGGTCAACGCCCATGCGGCCCGGTCTGTGACCAGGCCTCCTGGTGGATCAGAGCCTGATCAACCAGGCTGTTACTGTTGGCTGCACGCAAACCAACGTACAAGCCACAGCCCGGCTGGTCAGGAACCGACTTTAGGTGCTTGTCCAGTGCCAGCTTGAAGACTGCCAGGGGTCTGTTGGTAATCCCCCTTATGTATGCTGGGAGGCAGCTGAACAGTCTCAGGCCCCTGACACTTATTGTATGGTCTCTTAACGTGCTAGTGACACCCCTGCTTTTCATTGGGGGGATGTTGCATCGTCTGCCAAGTCTTTTGCTTTCGTAGTGAGTGATTTTCGTGTGCAAGTTCGGTACTAGTCCCTCTAGGATTTTCCAGGTGTATATAATCATGTATCTCTCCTGCCTGCATTCCAGGGAATACAGGTTCAGGAACCTCAAGCGCTCCCAGTAATTGAGGTGTTTTATCTCCGTTATGCGCGCCACGAAGGTTCTCTGTACATTTTCTAGGTCAGCAATTTCACCTGCCTTGAAAGGTGCTGTTAGTGTGCAGCAATATTCCAGCCTAGATAGAACAAGTGACCTGAAGAGTGTCATCATGGGCTTGGCATCCCTAGTTTTGAAGGTTATCATTATCCATCCTGTCACTTTTCTAGCAGATGTGATTGATACAATGTTATGGTCCTTGAAGGTGAGATCCTCCGACATGATCACTCCCAGGTCTTTGACGTTGGTGTTTCACTCTATTTTGTGGCCAGAATTTGTTTTGTACTCTGATGAAGATTTAATTTCCTCGTGTTTGCCATATCTGAGTAATTGAAATTTCTCATCGTTAAACTTCATATTGTCTTCTGCAGCCCACTGAAAGATTTGGTTGATGTCCGCCTGAAGCCTTGCAGTGTCTGCAATGGAAGACACTGTCAAGCAGATTCGGGTGTCATCTGCAAAGGAAGACACGGTGCTGTGGCTGACATCCTTGTCTATGTCAGATATGAGGATGAGGAACAAGATGGGAGCGAGTACTGTGCCTTGTGGAACAGAGCTTTTCACCGTAGCTGCCTCGGACTTTACTCTGTTGACTACTACTCTCTGTGTTCTGTTAGTGAGGAAATTATAGATCCATCAACCGACTTTTCCCGTTATTCCTTTAGCACGCATTTTGTGCGCTATTACGCTATGGTCACACTTGTCGAAGGCTTTTGCAAAGTCTGTATATATTAAATCTGCATTCTTTTTGTCTTCTAGTGCATCTAGGACCTTGTCGTAGTGACCCAATAGTTGAGACAGACAGGAGCGACCTGTTCTAAACCCATGTTGGCCTGGGTTGTGTAATTGATGGGTTTCTAGATGGGTGGTGATCTTGCTTCTTAGGACCCTTTCAAAGATTTTTATGATATGGGATGTTAGTGCTATCGGTCTGTAGTTCTTTGCTGTTGCTTTACTGCCCCCTTTGTGGAGTGGGGCTATGTCTGTTGTTTTTAGTAACTGTGGGACGACCCCCGTGTCCATGCTCCCTCTCCATAGGATGGTAAAAGCTCTTGCAGTTCTTGATGAACACGGAGTTCCATGAGTCTGGCCCTGGGGCAGAATGCATGGGCAAGTCATTTATCGCCTGTTCGAAGTCATTTGGCATCAGGATAACATCGGATAGGCTTGTGTTAACCAAATTCTGTGGCTCTCTCATAAAAAATTCATTTTGATCTTCGACTCTCAGTCTGGTTAGCGGCTTGCTAAAAACTGAGTCATATTGGGACTTGAGTAGCTCACTCATTTCCTTGCTGTCATCTGTGTAGGACCCATCTTGTTTAAGTAGGGGCCCAATACTGGACGTTATTCTCGACTTTGATTTGGCATAGGAGAAGAAATACTTTGGGTTCCTTTCGATTTCATTTATGGCTTTTAGTTCATCCGCGATTCCTGACTCCTATAAGATTCCTTTAGCTTAAGTTCGATGCTTGCTATTTCTCTGACCAGTGTCTCCCTACGCATTTCAGATATATTGACCTCTTTTAGCCGCTCTGTTATTCTTTTCCATCGCCTGTAAAGGGAACGCCTGTCCCTTTCTATTTTACATCTACTCCTCCTTTTTCTTAGAGGAATAAGCCTTGTGCATACATCGGTCGCCACCGAGTTAATCTGTTCTAGGCATAAGTTGGGGTCTGTGTTGCTTAGTATATCTTCCCAGCTTATATCAGTTAGGATTTGGTTTACTTGGTCCCACTTTATGTTTTTGTTATTGAAGTTGAATTTGGTGAATGCTCCCTCGTGACTAATCTCATTATGTCGGTCTGGGGCTCCGCGCATACATGACTGAACCTCAATTATGTTGTGATCTGAGTATATTGTTTTTGATATGGTGACATTTCTTATCAGATCATCATTGTTAGTGAAGATGAGGTCTAGTGTATTCTCCAGTCTAGTAGGCTCTATTATTTGCTGGTTTAAATTGAATTTTGTGCAGAGATTTAAAAGCTCGTGTGAGTGTGAGTTTTCATCAGAGTTGCCTCCTGGTGTTATTACTGCAACAATATTATTTGCTATATTCCTCCATATTAGGTGCCTTAAGTTGAAATCCCCCAGGAGCAAGATGTTGGGTGCAGGAGCTGGCAGATTTTCCAGACAGTGGTCAATTTTTAACAGCTGTTCCTGGAATTGCTGGGATGTTGCATCCTGAGGCTTGTAGACTACCACAATGACTAGGTTTTGGTTCTCGATCTTTACTGCTAAAACTTCCGCTACATCATTTGAGGCAATCAGCAGTTCTGTGCACACAAGTGACTCTGCAATGTACAGGCCAACCCCCCCCCCCCCTTTTGCCTGTTCACTCTGTCGCATCCGTATAGGTTGTAACCTGGGATCCATATTTCGTTGTGCAAGTGATCCTTTATGTGGGTCTCAGTGAAAGCCGCGAACATTGCCTTTGCCTCTGCAAGCAGTCCACGGATGAAAGGTATTTTGTTGTTTGTTGCTGGCTTTAGACCCTGTATATTTGCAAAGAAGAATGTCATCGGACTGGTGGTATTGTTGGTACTGGGGGGAGGTTTTTTTTCCGGCATTATAGTCTGTATCTGTTGGTTTGGAGTGGAGGCCATTGACTGTGGTTCCACTCCAGGAATGACTGGATTTGGTGTACGATTTCTGCCATTTCCTGCCAGTTTTTTTTTCTTCCTGGCACTAAAAAACCTCTCCCTCTTGAGTGGCTGTGGCTACCCAGGTTTTCCCATGGCCTGGATGTTTTGTATCTTTTTGTCCCCTTTAGATGGTGTGCCTGGCAATTTAAGTTATAGCACAGTCTTTCCTGCACTGAAGAGGGACACATTTCAAGGTGAAAAAGCTTACAGGAAGGGAGTTTGCATTTTCCTGTTGTCATATGGGCACGGCATTTTCTAGGGTGGTCATAGTTGCACGTCCCATCTGTTTTTCCAGATTTCCCATGCCTGCAGATACCAAGTGCATAGTATGTGCACAGGCTTGGTTTCCATTTGCCTTGGGTTTCTGTGACTGTATTCCCTGTTGGTGCATGTTTGCCTTGGGTTTCTGTGACTGGCAGTATCATCAGCAAAAAGTAACTGTGCTAACTCCCATTTTGTATCAGATTCCATATACATGTATTTTAATCCCACCCCTCTCCTCAGCACCCTAGTATTTGCATCTTTTACAACCCCATCTATAAATATGTTAAACAACCATGGTGACATCTTTCATCCCTGTCTAAGGCCTACTTTTACTGGAAAGTAATCTCCCTCTCTCCTATACACCCTAACCTGAGCCTCATTATCCTCATAAAAACTCTTTATAGCATTTAATAACTTTCCACATATTCCATACACTTGCAACATCTGCAACATTACTCATCTACTTTATCATATGCCTTCTCTAAATCCATAAAAGCAACAAAAACTTCTCTATGTTTATCTAAATATTTTTCACTTATATGCTTCACTGTAAACACTTGGTCCACACATTCTAAAGCCTCTTTGTTCATCTGTGATCCTGCTGTCCATCATACCCTTAATTCTTTCATTGATAACCCTACCATGCACTCTGGTATACTCAGTAGGCTTATTCCCCTATTATAATTTTTACACTATCTTTTGTCCTCTTTTCCTTTATATGCAAGAACTATGCATGCTCTCTGCTAGTCCCTAGGTACATTCCCTTCTTTCATGCATTTACTGAACAATAGTAGTACCAACCACCCTAAAACTATATCCCCACCTAATTTACAGAAAATCCTGTATATTTATGAAAATGTACATGAATTAAGGTACTCACTTTTGAGGTATTACTCCACAACTGCAAGTCAACTTGCCACCCATGATAGGTCCAGGCACCAATGTAGAATTCACAAGTTTGGGTGTCATATGGCCAGTGAGTGGAGTCTAGAGGGCACTCTACCCTGTAGGCACCAGGGGGCACCCAGTTGACTGTCCCATCACTCAATACTATGGCTTTAACACTGCCATAGTGGTTAACCTCAGTGATGTCAGCACTGTAACACAAATTTAGCAAGTGCTGCATGACTCCTATGGGTTTAAAGTATTCTTTGAATGCAATAATAAAAATAGTATAAATTTAAGGAGAAATGTTCTGCATTACTTCTGTGCTGCTACTGTAAAATTAGTTTCCAGCATGTGTTCAAGAGTCCAGTAGGCTTATGTGTTCTCTGTAGGCTGTGTATACTATTTCATAATTACTTTTATTTATAATAGATTTTTTATGTAATATTGTCTCTTGTTATTGTTCTTAGTGTTTAGTGTTTTATTTTATTACTGGTGTTCTGTATTTTGACTATGTATAAGGTGTTAAACATGTGTGCTTGTGTTAGCAGCATTGCTGAATGGCCAATCCAGCTTTAGTGCTCTTTTTGCAAATGTAATAAAAGTACAGTGGAACCTCGGTTTTCGTGATTAATCCGTACGAAAACTGAAACAATATTCCCCTAAGAAATAATATAAATCCAATTAATCCATTCCAGACACCCAAAAATATTAACAAAAAATACATTTTATAGAGAATAACTACAGTTTTACATACAGAAAATAATGAGAAATAAATATAAATGACTTATGAAATGGATAAATGAACATTTAACATCACTTTTACCTTTATTGAAGACTCGTTGTCATATGGAAGACGGCAAGGAGGGAAGAGGGAGGAGGAGAGGTTATTGTTTGGAAGGGGAATCCTCATCCATAAGGAATTCAGGTATCAAGGCCCAATCTAGGGTTACTTCCCTTCTTTACCTTTTACTGCCACTAGGACCAGTTTGAGTCACTGGACCCCATTGCACAAAAAATCTGTCCAGAGAGGTCTGTTTCTGGCGTCTCTTTAAGATTTGCCTAAAATGGTACAAGGCATTGTCATTGAACATGTTGCAGACACAGCTTGCAACAGCTTTGTTAGGGTAATATTTCTCCACAAAACTTTGCAACTCATTCCACACATATCCTTAATCACTGAAGAAGGCACATTCTCCCCTCTCTCTTCCTCCTCCTCTGAAGCAATTTCCTCAGCTGCAGTCTGTTGCTGTTCCAGTTGAAGGTCTTGCAACTCTTCAGTGGTTAGCTCTTCCCTGTGGTTGTCCACCAACTCTTCCACATCCTGGCCACTCACATCCAACACCATGGACTTTCCCAAAGACAACAGATTCCACAACAGGCATAGGGTCATCATTGTCAGCCTCAAACCCTTCAAAAGGACACATTCTGGCCACAATTTTCTCCAAGCAGAGTTCATTGTCCTAGAAGTCACTCCCTGCCAAGCCTGATCTATAAGGCTTATGCAACTGAGGATATTAAAGCAATTCCTCCAGAACTCTCTTAGGGTCAATTCAGTGTCCGAGGTCACTTCAAAGCACTTTTGAAACAGTGCTTTGGTGAAGAGCTGGCACTTGGAACTTTCTTTGGCCCCATGGTGACTTATTTAGCAGTCACACTCAATAAACAAGCATAAAAAACAATGGATTATGTATTACAAAATGTTTCGGATGAACACGCGGGGTGATGCTCACTCAATGAGAAACAAAGGCATACTGAATCACGAACGCATGGGATGCTTTGTGTGGGCGCTCAATTCCAGGAAATGAGTGGCCGAGTTACGTGGGCAGGCGGACGAGTTCGGTACAGACCATTTTCAACTGTACGAAAACCAAGCGGATGCACGAAAACTGGGACAAAATTTCAATGAAAAAAGTTGTCAAAAACCAAACTTATAAAAACTAGGGCATACGAAAACCGAGGTTCCACTGTTCTTATATTGTGTGGATGTACACTCACTTGTTGTAGAGGTGAATTTCTGGGAGCCAGATCTCCTCCTCAGCAAAGTGGAGCAACTTGAGTCCTCCATAATCCTTGTAGTCCCAGGAGAGGCGTGGGTCCTGCCATTTCTGTTGCAACAAGATTCATATATTCATTATTCACAATATGTTTAGCAAAATATAATATCCTCCTGGTAACACTATGCTATGCAAATGTATACTGTAATTTAGCATTTTATTTTAAGAACTTTATGTTGTTAGTAAGAGTAGGTGCAGTAGGTTCAGCAAGACTGAGTCCAGCACTGGCAAGCTAGCAGTTGTCATGTGTAAACAAGCACAGTGCTACGTTCATTGACTTAATAAACCTTTAATTGAAGCAAAATATCATCAATAAATCAAGTTTTTTTCCCTCTGCATGTGGTGTCTGTACCCAGCCAGCTGACACTACTATATTGCCATGGCCTGTCAACGCCCCAACTACACCATTGTACAGTATTAAGCACATCATCATTAGGCTTGCACCACTGAATGGCTCCGCTTATGACAAATACCTGAGCCTGAGAAACAACTAAATTAAATTTCTGAATGCTCTGGGTAAGCTCATGCCTGCATTAATAAAATGTCCACCTCTGCAATAACCAATAGTGGTGAAGAGAGCTAGGGACTTGATCACACATAGTAAGTTTGTAATCTTTTGATATAGCCCATCCTCTTAATCAACATCAACATATGACTTTGGCTAAGAACATGGGATTGACTGTTTATTGTTGTCTGCTCAGTGGGTCTGTTTTTTTCTCATCCTTCAAAAATTTCTATATACAATATTTTATGCATTCTTGCATATACTTACATTAGGGTATGTGGTAACTCCTATATTTTGCTTGTAGATGACAATCTAGCCTAATGAACTAAATTAAATTAAATAGTGCATATTGAGAAATTTGCTTAAAATCGTATGTAAAAAAAATTGATGTTTGCTTTAGGAGGATGGGTTGTATGATATCAAGGTAACAACTAATCAATGTCTCAAGAAACTGTAATGACATGATTGCAAACAAACCATGGTATGGAGTTTTTATGACTCACTCACCGCAAGTTCAGTCCCCGCTTGTACTGTGGTTTTTTAATCAGTCTTGCAATAAAATCCTTACAGAGTGCTGTTGACCTACCCATTACTAGGTGACCAGGGGCAGCAGCTGCAAGGAGACTTGCATAGTTGATAGCATCCCCAGCCCACACACTGAGGTCTGGGTATTGTTCCATCATGGGTGAGACATTGGGCATGTTTCCTTACACCTGCTGTCCCTGTTCACCAAGCATTATATAGATGCCTGGGCATCAGACGACTGTTGTGGATCACATCCTGGGGAACAATTAACCTAAGTTGCCTCCCAAAATGCTCTGCATAACCAGGGGCTTTCTATTTAGTATGTCAATAATGTCAGTTGCCTACTATTTATACAGAACATTAAACTCCAATGTCAATCCTCCACTCAAACTTCTCCTAGACAGCTTCAACAGAACACACAGGCACAAAACACTTTTTGACATCCCTCGTGTCCGTCTCACACTTTGCAAAAATGCAATGCACATAAAGGGCCCTAAGATCTGGAACTCTTTGCCTGAAGCAGCAAGAGGTCCCCTGCTCACAGCTCAGTTTAGGATCATACTCGAAAATCATCTCATCTCTCAATAATAAACCTACCCACACCATGCTAAACCCCAACCAAATTCAAAGCAACTCCCAAAATACTTTATTATCCCTTAACTATTAAGCCATTTTTACAAACTTATAAATGTATGTTTGTATCACTAACTGTACTACCTCATATTAATAAGAGTAAATAAACTTAATTACAAACTTCAAAATGTATGATTGATTGTATCATAAATTGTACTACATGTACCTCATATTAATAATAAGAGTGAAACATAGAATACGTATTTGTATTCTACCAGTGTAAAAGAACCTAATTTTGTACTTAAAATTGTAAGACTGTAATAAATTGTACTACTTCATTAACAATAGAGTTAATATTGACTGCTTGTATTCTACCACTCTTCACCTGTCTAGACTTAAGTAGTCTATAAGTATTAGGTTAAGTCTGCCCAAAATGCCTCAGTATGATAGTGACTTTCTTTGCTCCAATCATACTATGATATGTAAACACACATTGTAATTTTAGCAAAATAAATAAATATTTTATTTTATTTATAGTTAGGTTTCTAATTGTTGTATCACATACTTGTAGAAATAAAGATTATTACAGTGGACCCCTGGTTAACGATATTTTTTCACTCCAGAAGTATGTTCAGGTGCCAGTACTGACCGAATTTGTTCCCATAAGGAATATTGTGAAGTGGATTAGTCCATTTCAGACCCCCAAACATACACGTACAAACGCACTTACATAAATACACTTACATAATTGGTCGCATTCGGAGGTGATCGTTATGCAGGGGTCCACTGTATTATTATTATTTGTTCAACACGACGGCTGTTTCCCACCAAGGCAGGGTGACCCAAAAAAAGAAAGAAACACTTTCACCATCACTCAATACTTTCACCATCACTCACACAAAATTATATGTTTTGCTGGCCTGGGAATCAGTACAGGTAGTTATACATACACGTATAAGATACTGCTGTTACCTTGTTATTCCTTGTTTGGCACACCTACTTCCTTTATTTCTGGTAAAAGCATTACTAAATACCTTTTTACAATAACTAACATTGCCATTTGGTTACTTCATTCTCAGTAAACAATCTTACTCTATGAAAGTCATGAATCCACAGGCAGAAAGAGAGGGAAGCAAAATTTTCTGTATATTTTGATTTTCAGCTGAGGTCTCTTATTAACAAGAGTAGGAGTGACAGGACCTCAGTTGAAGATTGAAATACAGTATTCAGTAAACTCTGCTTTCCTTTTTGTAGTGTAGTCTCTGAAAAAAAGAATTGCTGGACTGAAATGTACATAAATGAAAAGTTTGTTGCCAATCATATATCAAACAGAAAAGATTAAAAACGAACTGAAAGCAAAAAGTCAGATGACCAGATGTCGATGTTTTATATTTTCCAAGTTCCCTGGTAAAGCTCATAAAACTTGTGTATTTTATGCATCCTTTTTCCAATCTTTTTTTTTTTTTTGCGGTCACTATGTGTTCCTGCCACCTATCATAGCATTCATTACACTTCCTTTGGAACATATTACTCTTTATTACTTTATATGATGTGCTAAATCCATGTGGGTCACTGTATTACCTTTGGAAAAAGTAGCATCAGTGTTTGCATCTAACCCATAAATTGGAAATGGAAATTAAATGTTCTGTATCTCCTGGATCATTATCAAGCCAACTCAGTGGTCCAGAACAGATTCAAACATTTACTAGTTTCCATGTTTTGTTTGTTTTGTGTGTGTGTGCATGGATTGTTGCAGCCAGGGTATTGTGATTTAGTATTGCTAGAACTAACCATTCTGACCCACGCATTCATGTTAAATATCTGCTTGTCCTCCTCGATCCACATGCCCATGGGAATCATCTCAACGTAAACAGTGGTAGTGCCGTTGCTGGTACGCTGAGGCAGTGCGTGCTTGTCGTAGTCTGTCAGTAACTTATGGCGTAGTTCCTCAGTCTTGCTGGTGATGGGGTCGTCTGTCAAGGGACAAGTGAAGCCATTATGTGCCTCTTGTCATCTTGTAACTACTGCCCACAGGATGGGAATGGGGTGTACATTAAAAGTAACAATACCAAAGGGCACCCTCCTACAACACTTTATTACTTATTCTCAACACTGAATTCAAACTTGAAATTGTACATGAGTGACAGATTTAAGGTGTTGGGCAGACAGTGATACTGAGGATGTGACAGATGGGAATATAGACTATGGCTGGAGTTAAGGAAAACTAGGTTATAATAAAAAAAAACTAGAGAAGCATTACTGGGCCTATCATTATTATATTCATAGGGAAGTTCCATACTCATAGAGGTCATCGAGTGCCTGGGTAATGGGATGTAATTAAGTTTGATACAAAGTAAGGGTTGCTCTAGTTCCTTGGAACACAATTCCTTTACCAGAATCCAGGCATTTTCTTGAAGGGAACTGCTGGGCCTGGTACTGTACTGGCTCTTACTAGGCAAATTCTACTAACACCCACTTTATCCAGTCTATAACTGTTTTAAAATTTTTAACACTGATCCAATTATTCACTAAAGTGACTAAAAGACTTCCTCCCATCCATAACCATAGCACCAAACCAATGTTTTTGTATAGCCTTTATAAATCTAAATTTATCCTGCTTAGGTCATTACTGAGAGTTTTGTTGCATTAAGATATTTTCAGCACTTTATTGACTGTATATTCCATTTTTACTGTTATTTTCTATTTGTACACTTCAATTACGTCCACCTAATTCTATGTATTTTTTCAGTGTGAATTTTATTACATTCAGGAGTACTAAACCTGTAAGTCATACACAGAGCCTTAGGAATGGGAGGCAATCAGATTCAATTCAAGGATTAAAAACTCTTCACTGACATCAAGACACTTCCCCGAATGAGTTCTTTAACCTAAGCTCAGTACTTATAACCTATCTTTGTAGAAAAGTTTTCTGATATTCTTCTATGTATGTTTTTCCAGCGAATTTGAGCCCGGTGGCCTAGTGTGTGGCCCGGTGGCCTGGTAGCTAAAGCTCCCGCTTCACACACGGAGGGCCCGGGTTCGATTCCCGGCGGGTGGAAACATTTCGACACGTTTCCTTACACCTGTTGTCCTGTTCACCTAGCAGCAAATAGGTACCTGGGTGTTAGTCGACTGGTGTGGGTCGCATCCTGGGGGACAAGATTAAGGACCCCAATGGAAATAAGTTAGACAGTCCTCGATGACGCACTGACTTTCTTGGGTTATCCTGGGTGGCTAACCCTCCGGGGTTAAAAATCCGAACGAAATCTTATCTTATCTTATAGAGACCAGAATGGAGCTGCAAAATGCAAATACTTTTTAATATAAAGGCAAGAAGTTTTTAGAATATTAAAAACACTTATGCACTGTTACGGTGGATTTTGAACTCTGCTAACCAAACCCTTCAGCCTTTTTTTTGCCTTCAGTTTGATTAATTTGTCTACAGCATTTAGTTTTAAGAGGAAGGTGGTGGATATGGGCTGAGAAATGTAGTGAATCATGATAGGTGGTAAGAAAGTTTGACAGGTGGTACTAGAGAGCATGACAGATGGTGACAATGACAACATGACAAACAGCGATAACATACAACCACTGAATGGCTATGATCAGCAATGCAAATGTGTTGCATGAACATAGGTACATAATAATGGAAGAACTGCAAGGCCTAATGGCCCATGCTAGGCAGGTCCAATTTACACTCATCCACTCATAAGAACACTGCTGCAGGCCTACTGGCCCAACCTTTTCCCAGAGCTACCCAAGGATTTGCTTCAATACTTCAAGTACTAATCAAACCCAGCTCTTCTCACTCATATACTTTAAGCTACCCGAGTTCTTTCCTCAGTGATGCTACTTGGAAGTCTTTATCCACTCATGTACAACTTTACTGGTTACCAATACTTTCTCATATCCTTTCTCAATCTAAAATTTGTGCAACTTGAATCCATTACTGGAGGCTGGTGTTACCAAGGCAAACATCCCAAGTGTGAAGTTGAATGATGTATGTACTTGACAGGATGTACCTGCCTGGATGTGTGATGTACCTGTTAGGACATGTGATGTACCTGTCAGGCATGATGTAGCTGTCAGGACGTGTGATGTACCTGCCAGAACGTGTGATGTACCTGTCAGGACATGTGATGTACCTGCCAGGATGTGTGATGTACCTTTCAGGATGTGTGATGTACCTGTCAGGATGTGTGATGTACCTGCCTGGACATGTGATGTACCTGCAAAAACATGGAGGGTGAAAACCATAACTGTTAATGCCACTGTCAGCCTCGCCATCTGGTTCTGCCTCTTGAGTGATCAGGTACTGAGAAAATCCTATGTAGTTCTCTTCTCCATGCAGAAATTATCTTAAATATTCTTCACACAACTTATAGCGTGTCCCTGTGTGGCACTAAACATTGCACAGTCCTACGCACTACCAACAATAAATTTTCTTGTGATAGAAGAGTGGCAGTGCTGGTGTATATAGTAGAGGGTTGTGCCTGGAAGTGGCATATGGTTGAGGAGGCTGAGAGGACTGGAGGGTCAGTGTGTGGATAGCCCCTCCTCCTGCAACATTCTATATGGGCAGGGAGGCTCAAGTGACAGTGCCAGTGGTAACTGGCACCAGCTGGTCACTGTTATCCTCATCCTTGCTCATTATTCAGATTTACTGTTCACTCTAAACTTCTGTTGCTCTTTGCATGGCAATACTGTTATTAGAGTCAGTGGCATGCAATAAAATACTTTGGGGGTTATACAATATGGAAGGCAATCATGTTTGATCCAAGGAAAGGAAGACAACTTCAAGTCCTTAGATTAAGAGCCCTTCACTAAAATCAAGGCACCTCCCACTGTAAGAAAAAACTCTGGCCTCTGCACCTTCTTAGAGTGTTAGGTAAGACACATATGCAACAGTTAGGTATCTTTATTTCGAAACGTTTCGCCTACACAGTAGGCTTCTTCAGTCTGGATTTGAGAGGGCTGCATTGGCTGGATTTGAGAGGGACCTGACCTCCCAACATCTGCGTTCTACTAGTGACCTACGTCTCACCTCCTGGCGCTATATAAGGCTCCATCCTGTCACTTCTACTCCATATTGTTTCAGACTACGGAACAATGCTCTTCTCCAGACTGAGGGACTGACCACCTCAAAACTTTAAGGGTGATGGACTGATTACATCGTCTTCAAGTCTCTTCTGCTTCTATCAACTTTTCTGTACTCGACTGAAGAAGCCTACTGTGTAGGCAAAACGTTTCGAAATAAAGATACCTAACTGTTGCATATGTGTCTTACCTAACAACCTGTTGGTATTTTATACCATTTTAATGTTCAATCTGTCAGACACTGCAACACAAGGGTATCTTGGTATGGACCTGAAATCAACTTCGACAACCTCTACTAGTGAGAACGGCTGGATTTGAGAGGGACCTGACCTCCCAACATCTGTGTTCTACTAGTGACCTACGTCTCACCTCCTGGCGCTATATCAGGCTCCATCCTGTCACTTCTACTCCATATTGTTTCAGACTATGGAACAATGCTCTTCTCCAGACTGAGGGACTGACCACCTCAAAACTTTAAGGGTGATGGACTGATTACATCGTCTTCAAGTCTCTTCTGCTTCTATCAACTTTTCTGTACTCAACTGAAGAAGCCTACTGTGTAGGTGAAACGTTTCGAAATAAAGATACCTAACTGTTGCATATGTGTCTTACCTAACAACCTGTCGGTATTTTATACCATTTTAATGTTCATCTTCTTAGAGCTCCCTCTTCCTTGATCAAAGCAAGCCATTACTGTTTCTTCATCCAAATATTTTTATTTTACATTATTATTATTATCATATTCATGGTAAGCATTAAGCCCATTAGGGTCATTCAGTACCTGGGTAATAGGAGATAATCAGGTTTGATTATAAGAAGAGGAGAGTCATTCTAATTCCTTGGACAAAAAGTTTGTTATTCAGATTTTTGTTGTGACGACTAAAGAAAACTGTTGACTTCTTGATGTGAAACGGAAGAGGAAATGGAAAAAAATGCAGCAGAGTCACTGTCGTAGAATCATTGCAGCAGTCACTGTATCAAGAGTGTAACAGACCTGTGGATGGTAATGACCCATACCCATCTGGGTGGTAATCACCTTATATCTACCCTGTGGATGGTAATTACATACTTCATATCCAGCCTGTGGGTGGTAATCATAAAAATTACAAAGGCACATCATAGGTCCAGGAAGTGGACCTATGATGTGCCATTTATTATACATGCAAATTCTGACATAGGAACTGATATAATAGATGGCAGGTCCACTATCAGCACTTAATGTCCACATTTCCCGATGCTAGCGCCTGCCAGCACCCTTCCTGATGGGTGCTGGTATTACCAGTGATGTAGACCTATGTGGTTAGTTAATACTTTATGAATACTGAATTACAATAAGAATATGGTACCTAGTGTCACTACCTGTCAGAGATATGGTAGGCAGTAGAATGATATAGACCTAGAGGGTCCATGTATACCTGACCTGGACCTGGAGGGTCCAGGTGCACCTGACTTGGACCTGGAGGGTAGTGTCAATGTAGATATATGGTAGATAGTATTAATGTAGACCTATGGTAGGTAGTGTTAATGTAGACCTATGGTAGGTAGTGCCAATGTAGACCCATGGTAGGTAATGTCAGTGTAGACCTATGGTAGGTAGTGTCAATGTAGACCTATGGTAGGTAGCATCACTGTAGACCTATGGTAGGTAGTGTCAATGTGGACCTATGGTAGGTAGTGTCATTGTAGACCTATGGTAGATAGCATCATTGTAGGCCTATGGTAGATAGTGTTAGTGTAGACCTATGGTAGGTAGTGTTGATGGAGACCTATGGTAGGTAGTCTCAATGCAGACCTATGGTAGATAGCATCAATGTAGACCTATGGCAGGTAGTGTCAATATAGACCTATGGTAGGTAGTGTCAATGTAGACTTATGGTAGATAGCATCACTGTAGACCTATGGTAGATAGTGTCAGTGTAGACCTATGGTAGGTAGTGTCAATGTAGACTTATGGTAGGTAGTGTGAGTGGTGTAGTCAGGGAAGCAGCCACCAGACACCAGGGGGGTGGAACAACCAGCTTGTATGCTGGGTCAGGTTACAACTGGTTAATATTACTGCAGAGTGTTATATAGGGGGAGTGTGTGTTGGAGGAGTGTTGTGTTGGGTGTGTGTGTGTTGGAGGAGTGTTGTGTTGGGGTGTGTGTGTGATGGAGGTGTATTTTGTTGGGGGAGTGTATGTTGTAGGAGAGTATTGTGTTGAAGGAGTATTGTGTTGGAGGAGTATTGTGTTGGAGGAGTGTTGTGTTGGAGGAGTGCTGTGTTGAGAGTGTTGTGTTTGTGATGGGGAGTGATGTAGGAGTGTTGGGGGTGTGGGGAGGGGAAGGTCACTATAGCATCAAGATGCATTTAACATTATGGAGTTATATTTATTCCCCCTCTCTCTCTCACGCATTTGGACACATACATATATACACACCCAAACACATACATGCACGCATGCACACACGCACACGCGCACACACACGGTGACAGCAGTAAGACAAGAGAGAGAGGGGTGGGTGGATTGCATTTTCTTGGACTGCAAGAAGGCGTTTGACACAGTTCCACACAAGAGATTGGTGCAAAAACTGGAGGACCAAGCAGGGATAACAGGGAAGGCACTACAATGGATCAGGGAATACTTGTCAGGAAGACAGCAGCGAGTCATGGTACGTGGCGAGGTGTCAGAGTGGGCACCTGTGACCAGCGGGGTCCCGCAGGGGTCAGTCCTAGGACCAGTGCTGTTTCTGGTATTTGTGAACGACATGACGGAAGGAATAGACTCTGAGGTGTCCCTGTTTGCAGATGACGTGAAGTTGATGAGAAGAATACACTCAATCGAAGACCAGGCAGAACTACAAAGGGATCTGGACAGGCTGCAGACCTGGTCCAGCAATTGGCTCCTGGAGTTCAATCCCACCAAGTGCAAAGTCATGAAGATTGGTGAAGGGCAAAGAAGGCCGCAGACGGAGTACAGTCTAGGGGGTCAGAGACTACAAACCTCACTCAAGGAAAAAGATCTTGGGGTGAGTATAACACCAGGCACATCTCCTGAAGCGCACATCAACCAAATAACTGCTGCAGCATATGGGCGCCTAGCAAACCTCAGAACAGCATTCCGACATCTTAATAAGGAATCGTTCAGGACCCTGTACACCGTATACGTTAGGCCCATATTGGAGTATGCGGCACCAGTTTGGAACCCACACCTAGCCAAGCACGTAAAGAAACTAGAGAAAGTGCAAAGGTTTGCAACAAGACTAGTCCCAGAGCTAAGAGGTATGTCCTACGAGGAGAGGTTAAGGGAAATCAACCTGACGACACTGGAGGACAGGAGAGATAGGGGGGACATGATAACGACATACAAAATACTGAGAGGAATTGACAAGGTGGACAAAGACAGGATGTTCCAGAGATTGGACACAGTAACAAGGGGACACAGTTGGAAGCTGAAGACACAGATGAATCACAGGGATGTTAGGAAGTATTTCTTCAGCCACAGAGTAGTCAGTAAGTGGAATAGTTTGGGAAGCGATGTAGTGGAGGCAGGATCCATACATAGCTTTAAGCAGAGGTATGATAAAGCTCACGGCTCAGGGAGAGTGACCTAGTAGCGATCAGTGAAGAGGCGGGGCCAGGAGCTCGGACTCGACCCCCGCAACCTCAACTAGGTGAGTACAACTAGGTGAGTACACACATGGAGAAGATGCACGCACGCACACACACACACACACACACACACACACACACACACACACACACACACACACACACACACACACACGGAGAAGATTATCAGGAGGAGAGTGGTGGAACACCTGGAACGGAATAAGATTATAAATGAAAACCAGCATGGGTTTATGGAAGGCAAATCCTGTGTCACAAACCTCCTGGAGTTTTATGACAAGGTAACAGAAGTAAGATATGAGAGAGAGGGGTGGGTTGATTGCATTTTCCTAGACTGCAGGAAGGCCTTTGACACAGTTCCCCACAAGAGATTAGTGCAGAAGCTGGAGGATCAGGCACATATAACAGGGAGGGCACTGCAATGGATCAGGAAATACCTGACAGGGAGGCAGCAACAAGTCATGGTACTTGAAGAGGTATCACAGTGGGTGCCTGTGACGAGCGGGGTCCCACAGGGGTCAGTTCTAGGACCGGTGCTATTTTTGATATATGTGAACGACATGATGGAAGGAATAGACTCTGAAGTGCCCCTATTCGCATATGATGTGAAGTTGATGAGAAGAATTAAATCGGGGGAGGATGAGGCAGGACTGCAAAGAGACCTGGACAGGCTGGACATGTGGTCCAGAAACTGGCTTCTCGAATTCAATCCTGCCAAATGCAAAGTCATGAAGACTGGGGAGGGGCAAAGAAGACTGCAGACAGAGTATAGGCTAGGTGGACAAAGACTACAGACCTCACTCAGGGAGAAAGACCTTGGGGTGACCATAACACCGAGCACGTCACCGGAGGCACACATCAACCAAATAAGTGCTGTAGCATATGGGCGCCTGGCAAACCTGAGAATAGCGTTCCGATACCTTAATAAGGAATCGTTCAAGACACTGTACATTGTGTATGTTAGGCCCACACTGGAGTATGCAGCACCAGTCTGGAACCCACACCTGGTCAAGCACGTCAAGAAGTTAGAGAAAGTACAAAGGTTTGCAACAAGGCTAGTCCCAGAGCTCAGGGGAATGTCGTACGAGGAAAGGTTGCGGGAAATCGGACTGATGACACTGGAGGACAGAAGGGTCAGGGAAGACATGATAACGACATACAAGATACTGCGGGGAATAGACAAGGTGGACAGAGATAGGATGTTCCAGAGAGGGGACACAGAAACAAGGGGTCACAACTGGAAGCTGAAGACTCAGACGAGTCACAGGGACGTTAGGAAATACAGTGGACCCCTGCTTTACGATCAGCTCCCAATGCGACCAATTATGTAAGTGCATTTATGTAAGTGAGTTTGTACGTGTATGTTTGGGGGTCTGAAATGGATTAATCTAATTCACAATATTCCTTATGGGAACAAATTCGTTCAGTAATGGCACCTGAACATACTTCTGGAATGAAATAATATCGTAAGCCGGGGGTCCACTGTATTTCTTCAGTCATAGAGTCATCAGGAAGTAGAATAGCCTAGCAAGTGAAGTAGTGGAGGCAGGAACCATACATAGTTTTAAGAAGAGGTATGACAGCTCAGGAAGCAGAGAGGGAGAGGACCTAGTAGCGATCAGTGAAGAGGCGGGGCCAGGAGCTGAGTCTCGACCCCTGCAACCACAATTAGGTGAGTACAATTAGGTGAGCATGCGCGCCTGTGCGCACACACACACACACACACACACACACACACACACACACACACACACACACACACACACACACACACACACACACACACACACAAGGTGACAGAAGTAAGACAAGAGAGAGAGGGGTGGATCGACTGCATTTTTTTTGGACTGCAAGAAGGCCTTCGACACAGTTCCTCACAAGAGGTTACTGCAAAAGCTAGAGGATCAGGCACACATAACAGGAAAGGCACTGCAATGGATCAGAGAATACCTGACAGGGAGGCAACAACGAGTCATGGTATGTGACGAGGTGTCAGAGTGGGCGCCTGTGACAAGCAGGGTTCCACAGGGGTCAGTCCTAGGACCTGTGCTGTTCTTGGTATATGTGAACGACATAACGGAAGGGATAGACTCAGAAGTGTCCTTGTTTGCAGATGATGTGAAGTTAATGAGAAGAATCAAATCAGATGAGGATCAGGCAGGACTACAAAGTGACCTGGACAGGCTACAAGCCTGGTCCAGCAACTGGCTCCTTGAGTTTAACCCTGCCAAGTGCAAAGTCATGAAGATTGGGGAATGGCAAAGAAGACCACAGACACAATATAGTTTAGATGGCCAAAGACTGCAAACCTCACTCAAGGAAAAAGATCTGGGGGCGAGTATAACACTGAGCATATCTCCTGAGGCGCACATCAATCAGAGAACTGCTGCAGCATACGGGCGCCTGGCAAATCTACGGATAGCATTCCAATACCTCAGTAAGGATTCGTTCAAGACTCTGTATACCATTTACGTCAGGCCCATACTGGAGTATGCAGCACCAGTTTGGAATCCACACCTAGTCAAGCACGTCAAGAAATTAGAGAAAGTGCAAAAGTTTGCAACAAGACTAGTCCCAGAGCTACGGGGATTGTCCTATGAAGAAAGGTTGAGGGAAATCGGCCTGACGACACTGGAGAACAGGAGGGTCAGGGGAGACATGATAACGACATAAAATACTGCACGAAATAGACAAGGTGGACAAAGATGGGATGGTCCAGAGAAGGGACACAGACACAAGAGGTCACAATTGGAAGTTGAAGACTCAGATGAATCAAAGGGATGTTAGGAAGTATTTCTTCAGTCACAGAGTAGTCAGGCCGTGGAATAGCCTAGAAAGTGACGTAGTGGAGGCGGGAACCATACATAGTTTTAAGGCAAGGTATGATAAAGTTCTTGGGGCAGGGAGAGAGAGGACCTAGTAGCAATCAGCGAAGAGGCGGGGCCAGGAGCTATGACTCGACCCCTGCAACCACAAATAGGTGAGTACACACACACACACACACACACACACACACAGGATGTTCCAGAGAGGGGACACAGAAACAAGGGGTTATACGTAATTGGAAGTTGAAGACTTAGATAAGTCAAAGAGATGTCAGGAAGTACAGTGGACCCCCGGTTAACGATATTTTTTCACTCCAGAAGTATGTTCAGGTGCCAGTACTGACCGAATTTGTTCCCATAAGAAATATTGTGAAGTAGATTAGTCCATTTCAGACCCCCAAACATACACGTACAAACGCACTTACATAAATACACTTACATAATTGGTCACATTTGGAGGTAATCGTTATGCGGGGGTCCACTGTACTTCTTTAGTCATAGAGTTGTCAGGAAGTGGAATAGTCTAGCAAGTGATGTAGTAGAGGCAGGAACCATACATAGTTTTAAGAAAGGTATGATAAAGCTCATAGAGCAGGGAGAGAGACCTAGTAGCGATCATTGAAGAGGTGGGGCCAGGAGCTATGTCTCGACCCCTGCAACCACAAATAGGTGAGCACACACGCACAGGCATGCACACATGCACACACGCATGCATGCACACACACACACACACACACACACACACACACACACACACACACACACACACACACACACACACACACACACACACACACACACACACACGCGCACACACACACATCGGGTAGAGGCTAGGTGAAGAGGCAGGGCCAGGAGCTGTGACTCAACCCCTGCAACCACAACTAGGTGAGCACACACACACACACACAACAACAACAACAACAACAACAAGGGGGCACAATTGGAAATTGAAGACTCAGGTAAGTCACAGGGATGTTAGGAAGTATTTCTTCAGTCACAGAGTTGACAGGAAGTGGAACAGTCTGGAAAGTGAGGTAGTGGAGACAGGATCCATACATAGCTTTAAGAAGATGTATGATAAAGCTCATGGTCAGGAAGAGAGTGACCTAGTAGTGACCAGTGAAGAGGCAGGGCCAGGAGCTAAGACTCGACCCCTGCAACCACAATTAAGTGAATACATACAAACACCGAACAGGCCAAGTGTCTTATTGACAAGTGACTTTGACAAAATGGTAACTAACACACACAAAGGTTCTAGAGTATGTATTAAGCATGAGAGTTCTCACACACTTAAGATTGTTGTTCTCCTTCAGATTACAACAAAGACTGAGTCCAGTAATATTATTATGGTGATCATTATACACACATCATTATGGTGATCACTGTATATACATTACGATGGTCATCATTGTACACACATTATTACCGTGATCATTGTATACACATTATTATAGTGAGCTTTGCATTGTTTGCTTCTTTATTTTTTTTTCTACATGTCGGCCATCTCCCACCAAGGCAGGGTGACCCAAAAAAGTTATCTATAGTTATTAATTACTCAGCTTTTAATCTTCAATAATTCAAGTATCCCAGTGTACTACTTGTAAGTGCAGTATATTCCTAAAATTACTTTGTTATAATTAAGGTTAAGAGATGTACTGACTTATATTTAATGATATGTACAGTACTTACAATATAAGCAACCTCAAATAAGTATTTAAAAGTGCATTTATATTATTATTACAAAAATTAGGGTATTGTACTGGCCTGCTGCTACCCTGATCTATAACATATTATATAAAGTAAAAAAGCAAGAACTTAGTTTACTTAAACACATTCATCATGCAGGATGGATTTATTGGTAGAAATAAATGCAAAGACACTGGACACATTCTAGAAATCTCCAATTATGAATTTTAAAGTTTTCAGATGAACAGTATGCGATTCATGGTTACTAATGAAAAACATGGTCCTTCTTTTGGAAAGAAATATAACTTTGCTCCCTTGCTCCCTCAAACTTGAAGCTAGAATCTCCAAGATGCTGCATTTTCAGGGAAAAGCACCTTGAATGGGTCTTTGTCATATGATGACCTGTTCAGAGATGCCGTCGGCCCCATGGCGGGGGTGCGGCAAAAAGCAACCACTGGCATGTACCACTACGTCTACTGACACATAAAGAAGGTAGCTGTTGGTCCAGTGACAAGCCATGGCAGACACACTCCTGGCTTAATGTTGACTCTGGTCTGAGTGATGCATGATGACAAAGTTCTGGAATCTTTAGAATCATATGGGGGCGACATAAGCAATGAGAGTGATGATGAAGGTGGCAACGAAGATGAAGGCAGCAATGCGGTCAATGGCAGCAGCCACCAGTAGCCACTCATGGAAGTAAGATGTTGGACGTGCCTCCTCCAACACTTCCCCATCTTCAGCCCCTCCTTCACTCAGACCAACCTTCACCACACACACAAACACACACACACAAAAAAAAAAAACTTTTGAGAGCATCATCAATATCAAAATGGATTATATGCACTTAGGTATTGAGTATATAAAGAATCAAATCGGTATAAACTGTACTGGCATTAATTCGTAATGTACAAGCAATAGTGTAACTTTACATTATTTCCACTAAAGTAGGAAGCTAATAAACAGGCAGATTATATTACAGAATACTCAGAGGAAAGTGCTAAACCCATAGAGATCATAGAGTACTTCGGCAATGAGAGGTAAACAGGACTGCTTCAATGAAGGAAAGATAACTTCAATTCTTTACATAATAAAGTTGAGCGACACCTGTGACTGTTGGTATGTGCCACATTTCTTGAATTATAACACACCTGGCTGCTGGCAGGTGCAAGGTGAGGACATACAGGCAATGGCCTCCAACAGACACAGGCCAGCTCATGTGGCCATGCAAAGCATACCTTTAAATAAACAAATATTATCTTGGAAATATGCCAAATGCACACTGCCTGTTGTAAGTCGAGTGGCCTCACACAAATAAATTCAGCTGGAAGAGCAAGAGAGTTATCTAGCACAAGCAAAAATTATACCTGACACAAGTAAAAAACCAGGAAACTCAGATAAGAGTCAGGCGCAACAGGTAGTGATCCACATGACACAAATAACAGAAATGGGTGACAGAAAGTACTCACTTTGTGAGTGTAGTCATGAAGGAAGAGTAGGCGTGCAAAGGGTCCTGTGAGGAATTTCTTGAGGAGGAGTGGTGGAGGGTAGTTGAGGTGAGGACCTTGGGTAAGGCGCAGTAGACCTCCACAAACAACCACACTCACTACCACCACACCCAGTGTCTGCCCGTAGAACTTTACTGCAATCATACACAAACTCAATCAATATAATGTAATTTAAAAATATTAAGTGAAATATAAAATCAAGAATATTTGCATCCCTAAGATAATAATTATTCTTCTGTGTATACTGTATACATACACTACAAGACTTACTACACTTCTTTCTTCTTTCAACACACCGGCCGTATCCCACCAAGGTGGGGTGGCCCAAAAGGAAAAACGAAAGTTTCTCCTTTCAAATTTAGTAATATATACAGGAGAAGGGGTTACTAGCCCCTTGCTCCCGGCATTTCAGTCGCCTCTTACGACACGCATGGCTTACGGAGGAAAAATTCTGTTCCACTTCCCCATGGAGATAAGAGGAAATAAACAAGAACAAGAACTAGAAAGAAAATAACAGAAAACCCAGAGGGGTGTGTATATATATATATATATGCTTGTACATGTATGAAAGAGGGAAAGGTACCTAGGGATTGGCGGAGAGCATGTATAGTCCCTTTATATAAAGGGAAAGGGGACAAAAGAGATTGTAAAAATTATAGAGGAATAAGTTTATTGAGTATACCAGGAAAAGTGTACGGTAGGGTTATAACTGAAAGAACTAGAGGTAAGACAGAATGTAGGATTGTGGATGAGCAAGGAGGTTTCAGAGTGGATAGGGGATGTGTAGATGAAGCGTTTACATTGAAGCATATATGTGAACAGTATTTAGATAAAGGTAGGGAAGTTTTTATTGCATTTATGGATTTAGAAAAGGCATATGATAGAGTGGATAGGGAAGCAATGTGGCAGATGTTGCAAGTATATGGAATAGGTGGTAAGTTACTAAATGCTGTAAAGAGTTTTTATGAGGATAGTGAGGCTCAGGTTAGGGTGTGTAGAAGAGAGGGAGACTACTTCCCGGTAAAAGTAGGTCTTAGACAGGGATGTGTAATGTCACCATGGTTGTTTAATATATTTATAGATGGGGTTGTAAAAGAAGTAAATGCTAGGGTGTTCGGGAGATGGGTGGGATTAAATTATGGGGAATCAAATTCAAAATGGGAATTAACACAGTTACTTTTTGCTGATGATACTGTGCTTATGGGAGATTCTAAAGAAAAATTGCAAAGGTTAGTGGATGAGTTTGGGAATGTGTGTAAAGGTAGAAAGTTGAAAGTGAACATAGAAAAGAGTAAGGTGATGAGGGTATCAAATGATTTAGATAAAGAAAAATTGGATATCAAATTGGGGAGGAGGAGTATGGAAGAAGTGAATGTTTTCAGATACTTGGGAGTTGACGTGTCGGCGGATGGATTTATGAAGGATGAGGTTAATCATAGAATTGATGAGGGAAAAAAGGTGAGTGGTGCATTGAGGTATATGTGGAGTCAAAAAACATTATCTATGGAGGCAAAGAAGGGAATGTATGAAAGTATAGTAGTACCAACACTCTTATATGGATGTGAAGCTTGGGTGGTAAATGCAGCAGCGAGGAGACGGTTGGAGGCAGTGGAGATGTCCTGTCTAAGGACAATGTGTGGTGTAAATATCATGCAGAAAATTTGGAGTGTGGAAATTAGGAAAAGGTGTGGAGTTAATAAAAGTATTAGTCAGAGAGCAGAAGAGGGGTTGTTGAGGTGGTTTGGTCATTTAGAGAGAATGGATCAAAGTAGAATGACATGGAAAGCATATAAATCTATAGGAGAAGGAAGGCGAGGTAGGGGTCGTCCTCGAAAGGGTTGGAGAGAGGGGGTAAAGGAGGTTTTGTGGGCAAGGGGCTTGGACTTCCAGCAAGCGTGCATGAGCGTGTTAGATAGGAGTGAATGGAGATGAATGGTACTTGGGACCTGACAATCTGTTGGAGTGTGAGCAGAGTAATATTTAGTGAAGGGATTCAGGGAAACCGGTTATTTTCACAAAGTCGGACTTGAGTCCTGGAAATGGGAAGTACAATGCCTGCACTATAAAGGAGGGGTTTGGGATATTAGTAGTTTGGAGGGATATGTTGTGTATCTTTATATGTATATGCTTCTAAACTGTTGTATTCTGAGTACCTCTGCAAAAACAGTGATTATGTGTGAGTGTGGTGAAAGTGTTGAATGATGATGAAAGCATTTTCTTTTTGGGGATTTTCTTTCTTTTTTGGGTCACCCTGCCTCGGTGGGAGACGGCCGACTTGTTGAAAAAAAAAAAAATGTATGTGTAGTGTGACCTAAATGTAAGTAGAAGTAGCAAGACGTACCTGAAATCTTGCATGTTTATGAGACAGACAAAAGACACCAGCAATCCTACCATCATGTAAAACAATTACAGGCTTTCGTTTTACACTCGGAAGAACGGTAGTGCCTCCCTGGGCGGTTGCTGTCTACCAACCTACTACCTAGGACTTACTACACCTCTGTGTTTATTTTCTATGCAATATACCAACTCTATACAGATTTAATGTCAAAAAGAAAGATAAATTCATTGCTTGTAGTAACACTTGTAGGACTCTTAGAAACACTGAATGTAGTAGAAATTGTTTCTTAATTAAGAAAGTAGACTGATACAGTGCACGAAACATTATGTATTTTTTTTATCATGCCAGTCATCTCCCATCAAACTAAGGTGACCCAAAAGCAAAAGAAAGCAGCATTTATCATCACTTATTCAGCAGCCCTTGTGGCAGAAGTGCACAGACATCACATTTCTAATGACCCTTCAAACTGTAACATCCCTACCCCACCCAATATACACATAATAATAAACAAAGAAATATACATAACAATGGTGTTCAAATACATGTTATATATACACACGTGATGATATAAGGCAGTATGTATGTACTATACTACTGCCCACGTGATGATATACTCATGTAATAATATAATACTGTGGGAACATCCTATAAACCAGTAATGATTATTTACAATGGAAGATTCCTAATATCCTAAAATGTATGTAACATATATTAGGAAATTTTGAAGATGCTTGTGAGGCAGCAGTATTGAAGAAAACCTCAAGCATGGTGAGAGAGAGATGTGGGATTTAAGGATGTATACCCGAAGTGTACCTGGAGGGTGTTCTGGGGGTCAAAACCCTTGTGGCCCAATGCATGACCAGGCCTCATGGTGGATCAGGGCCTGATCAGCCAGGCTGTTACTGGCGGCCACATGTAGGTTCATTTAATACTGATAAAAAGAGTCGTACAAGATAGGGATTTGGATTCATCAAAAAACTGACAGGAGAGAGGTATACAATATAGAAATGTGGATTCATAAAATACTGAATAGATACTACTGTATTAGACAGTGAAGCTGGACTCACCAATGATGGGGACGGAGGTGCCAAGTAGGGGAATGGCATGGGCCAGGTAGAGGAGCTGCAGTTGGGTAAGCAAAAGAGCAATGCAGCCCACCATCACCCGCTTGGCATGTGTCAGGGGCAGCAGAAACTGCACCAGCGTTATCACTGACACAACTGCCATATAAGCTCAGATCAACAGACTGGGTTCATTTGTGGCTAATGTTATTTTTTATTAAAAGCATCTATAAACATAGTACAATAGTTTTTGTTAAATATAACCAATAAATTAATAATATTCCAGTTATTGTATATAACACAAACACACATGACAACTGCAGAAAGACTTGGACAAACTGCAAGAATAGTCCAGCATTTGGCTGTTTGAGTTCAACCCCCGTGTATGCATTGTACTGAAAATGGGAACTGTGCACAGGATAATAATAAACAGAACAATTAGAAGAAAATCTTACAAAGCTAGAAAAGACATACAAGAGAAAAGATCTTAACATACAGGGTACTCAGTGTAATATACATCTTTACAGTACATTAATTATTTTATGTTTGTCTGTTTATTTAGTGTTTAACTGTTAATGTTTTTCTTACTGTCATAAGTGATACCTGTCATTGTGTGACAGCAGTGATAATGTCCAGGCCCTTATTCATAATAACCCACATAATTTTCTTCATTATTTGCCATTTTTATAATATTGTATGATAGGTTTGACACTGAGCCAAAGGAAATGAATGTAGGCAGAGTATTACCCTTAGCAAACTGCTAGAGTGTCCTCCAACCTCCACCTGTCCCCCCCCCAGAACAAATAAACAAGCAAAAACACACACACACACACACACACATACACAGGGTAGACAGGAACAGGGTGTTTGAGAAGAGACAAATGGGAATATGGATGCTAAAGACAACGATAAACCACAGGAATGTCTCAAGATGGTCAGGAAGTGGAATGATCTTGATGAAGTGGTGGAGACAGGCTCCACATGTAGCTGAAAGAACAAGAAAGATAGGCCCAATGAGGTTAGGAAGAAGTGAATCTGGCAAGTAGCAAGTTGAGAGGCAGGGCCAGGAGCTCAGACCCCACCCAGCAACCACATACAGGTGAGTTTGAACAGGAGTGTTCAAACTTATCTAGAAACTAGAGATAGTGCAGTGGCTTGTAATGGGACTTGTCCTGGAGCTAAGGGGTATGACTTGTGAATAAAGATTTGACAAAATGAACCTAATATTAGAAGATACAAGGACCAGGGGAGACATGATCACAAAATTCAAGATACTAGGAGGTCTTGATAGGATGGATAGGAACAGACTGAGAGGCCAGAAATGGAAATACAAGTGGATGGATGAAAGCTTAAAGTTGCAAATGAGCCAATGAGATGTGAGGAAATATTTCTTCAGTCAGAAAATATAATGACTTAAATACAGAAGTGGTGGAGGTAGACCCCATACACAACTTGAAGAATAGGTATGGTAGGATTCATGAGACTAGGAATGAGTAAACTCACTCAGCCATGGCTAGGAGTTGAAACTTGACTCCAGCAATCAAATTATTACACCTAAGTCAGCACACACAACTTAATAAGATACAACATCAGAAAGAGACTCACCGCAGGCAGGCACGACAACAGTGGAGGAGAAGGTGGGAGAGATGCGAGTGATGGAGAAGGCAGCATGCATAACAAAGTAGGGCTCAGGCACGTTCTGGTACCTAAAGTCCAAGCGCTGCAAGGTTCCCCCATTGACACGCCAATGGGATGACGTCTTCAGGTTGTACCTATTGCTGAGCTGCAGTGATACAATATTGCAGTTACTCCTTCACCAAATAAACTTTCATGTGTTCAAGTTAAGAGTCACTCCAGGAGCAGAAACTATACTGGTGATTCACAAAATTCTAATAACACAATTGCAAACAAATCATGGAACAGGTGGGGCTTGAACCCATGGCAAGCGAGTCCTAAAAACTCGCCTGCATTTGTAGTCACAGTGGCAGCCCATGCTAACCTCACTATGGTGTGTAGAGATATACCTAGTTTGATGAATCTTATTAGAGCCAGCTGGTCCAGTGGTTAACACACTGGCCTGTGAGTTTTAGGACTCACTTGCCGTAGGGTCAAGCCTCACCCATTCCATGATTTGATACTGATGATATCAGTGTTGAGGAACAAAGAACACAGTACAAACACTATATTGGTAGTGTCAATGTTGAGGAACAAGGAACACAGTACAGGCACTATATTGGTGGTATCAGTGTTGGGGAACAAAGAACACAGTATAGACAACATACTGGTGAGGTCTGAGTTGGGGATGATAGAGCACAGTACTAGCACCATGCTGGTGGTGTTAAGTCTTGGTGTATCACAGAGTACAATTCAAGCACTACAGTGGTAGTGTCAGTGTTAACACCTGGATATATATGTACGTACACTGTAAAGAAATAAGCCGTAAGTTACTTTTACCACCATATAGCCCAATAAGATTATTAAACAGGAATTATTATAATTAAAGTGGATTATAGTACATTATCTTATAAGCTTCAATGTAAGGAAAATCAAAAGTTAAAATTTTATTTCCTTGACTTACATAGAGGTTAATACAGTATATGCATTTCTCTGAATAATTTGAGGACTCACAAAATCTACCAAAAAATGTAATTTTCCATCAAATATCTATTAAAATTACTCATCCAGTTTCATTATATTCTGGGAATTCAGTTAATCAGTTTCAGTGCTTACAAGACAGTTAATTTTGTATGCCCTGTCCTAATTTTGGCCTGACCTATTTCCAGTATTCTTATTCATTATCAATGTTTTCTCACTATCGCCCTTCATATTTTCTGCAGTTAAGCTTTCTAGCTTACCAACTCTGAGATTTTTAAGTACAGTCCAGTACAGCTATTTTTATTTTTTAACACCTGCTGTCTCTCACCAAAGCAGGGTGAACCAAAAGTTCCAGGAAGCACATTCACCATCGTTCATTCAATTGCTGTCTTGCCAGAAGCATGCTGACTCGTACTAAACAATAATTAATTTTAGTGTTAGTTATTAGTAATCTTTAAAATTGTTAACCCATGGAGTCACTAATGTACTGATTCTAATAACTGTAAACTATATTGCTATACTATTATTGCTTCAATTGTCTACACAGAAGTAAAGCTGGCTAGACTGAAGTTAGTTCATATTGCAGGATAGCCCTGACATGGACTGTAAAGTTTAATTCAGTCTTTCCATGCTGCTGTATGTTACTGTCAGATTGTACTGTTCACTATATATAACCCAAGGCAGGCTTACCGCTTTAGTGAAATTTGGATAGCTGAGCTCGACCTGCCAGCCATGAGTTGTCCAGGAGCCAAAGTAGATGTGGCAGGTCTGGGTGTCATAGGGCCAATGAGAGAGATCCATGGGACACTCAACAGAGATGTGAGCAGGTGGGAACCAATAAACTAACCCACTGAACACCAGCAGGTGGGTCTGCCCGTAGTGGTTGATTTCTGTGATATCCGCACTGTTTAAAAAGAAGAAAATACAGTTTGTCTCTTCCTGAACCTACTACCCTGACTGTTGGGTCACAATGTAATCCAGACCAAATTTCAAGTATTCTCTGTTCATGCAAGATTATCAGATATTTCTTTCCTGTAAATAATGGGTAGCTAGGGAAGTGTCATTTCTATCATGGCAAAACCTAAGTTAAAATGTAAGAGTGAAAACTTTGTATATAGATGAGTGAAGACTGGAGGGAAGAGCTTGGTCAGATTGTTGCTACTGATGTGTTTGTGCAAGAGAAAGAGATAACTGTGACAAGCAGGAACGAAAATTTAGAAAGTGAAAAGCTCCAAATTTATGTATGTAGATGTAAAATAAAAAAATATCTATTATGTTATAAAAGACTCCAGGCCCCAGTGAGACTGTTTGTGAATTAAATAAGACACACAAATTCCAAACCCTTGACAAAAAATTTTTGAAAGCTTAACTTAATTCTTGTGTGTGATTCTCTAATCAAACATAAAAAACAGGAAATCTGCTGCATTGATAATAGAAAGAGGAAGCAGGTTTACCTTCCAAGAAATATCTGTCTCACAATATACTCTAGATCACCACATTATAAATGTATGGGCCACTATATTTCAAATGATTCAACTCCTTGTCCAAATTTATTTAGGCCAATAATGTGGTTATGCTATCACACACCTGGTTTTAAGGCAGCACAGGTGTATATTACAATTACTAATACATAATCACAACTTTTATTTTCTTATAACATATAAAGACCCCTGCTTCTCTAATGCAGCAATTCAGGAAATACTGCATCAGCCAGGTGCTTAACTCACACCTTGCCCACCTCCTGGGCAAGGTGTGAAGTGCTCGTACTGTACATGGAAATAAGAAGCACATGTTGAAAAACAAGACTGGCAACATTATTGTAAATATTGCTGAGGTGAAGACAGGAGGGTTGTGGGCTCTTCACCTACTTGTTGTAGACAGTAATGTCAGGTGTCCAGAGCTCATCATGGCTAAAGTGCACTTCATCAAGTCCTCCATAGTCCTTTGGGTCCCATAATATTCGGCTGTCACGCCAAATCTAAAAAACAACGACCAGTTTTAAAACAGCATTTTGATATACAGATGGAGAAACACTGAAAAAGCTGTTCACAATGCAAGTTACAACCAATTAAGATAAAATATGACAGATAACTTTATTTTCCAAGATGATACCTTAAAGTTACAATAGTAAGTTAACAGTGTATACATCTTACAAGAAGCCCACAATTATGTACACTCAGTGGCACTTTATTAGGTACACCTGTACATCTGCTCGTTAATGCAGTGGCAGTACCTCAGTGCCTAAAAGCATGCAGACATGGTGAAAAGGAATGAAATGGGATCTAAGTGACTTTGATCATGGAATAATTGTTGGCACCACAATGCATTGCTGAGCATCATTTGACCTGACCAGATAGTTGTCTAATACATACTTTAGTGTGTCCTGTGCAATAATTAATCTATGATCTCTTCCTTTCTATTCGTCAGTCTGCCTGATGATGTATTGAATGACAGATACATTAAATTATACATTTTATTACACACTGGCAATTTCTAATGCATTCACCATAACTCACTTTTTAGCTGTCTTACCATAAGTGCATAAACATCATGATCCAATTATGTCCCAATACACTGTTGCATCTTCACCCAATGTTCAAAGTACAGCAACTGTAATTTCCATTATTTATTAGTGAGGCTCAGGTTAGGATATATAACAGACAAGGGATATATTTTCCAATAAAAGTGGGCCTTAGATAGGAATGTGTAATGTCACTGTAGTTATTCAATGTCATTATAGTTTGGTCTTGTAAAAGATATTACTAGCATATTAGAGAAAAGTGTGGGTTTAAAAATAATGATTCTGATATTAACCCTTTGACTGTTGCAACCCCCAATCCTGAGGTGTCTCCTGGTGTTGCAAAATTTAAAAAAAAAAAAAAATTATTTTTTCTTATGAAATGATAGAGAATCTTTTCCCGATTGTAATGACACCAAAAAAACGAAATTTGATGGAAAACTGACAGAATTATGCTCTCGCAAAGTTAGCGAACTCGGCGCTGTTTACAAATCGGCGATTTCGCCCACTTTGAGCCCTATTTTCAGCTAATTCCATTATTCCATTCGCCCAAACTCATAGCTATTTCTTTAGAACTCCATTTTTTCTATCGATTGAGTATAAGAAACTGCCCATTTACCGATTTCAACTACCTAATAATGTGGTCAGAAATTTGCAATTTGGCCAATTTCACAAAAACTAAAAAATATGACAATTTCAAAATAAGGTCCAGAATGAACAATGCAGACATTCCTGGCTCTAAAACAACATTTTCTTTGTTCATCAGTCATGTCTCCAGGCCCCTCTGATATTACTCTTGCTTTCTATTTTGAATTTTTATTCAAACAAAAAATAGAAGACTTACTATTATGCAGACTACTGCAATACTGAAATAATTGTATAAATAACATCAACCCATTCATGACTGCATATTAGAATGGCTAGTTGGACATTTATTGGATAATGGCATCATTTGTTTACTTTTGAACATTGGCAAAAATCAAACATTTCCCCTACTTTGAGCTCCATTTCTAGGTTCTTTTTTATAGTAAAATCAATCAAAATCACCTCTATTTCTATAATATGTTTTCCATTCTATCAAATGAGACCAAGAAAACGAGAATACAACCATAAATATTATACGAAAATAGACCACAAAGTCGGCATTTTAATTAAAAAAAAAACGGTCGGAGTTTTTTTTTCTCATTATGCACTGCGTGCTCCAGGATTTTTTTTATATGGTGCACACTCACCACATAGACCCATTCTCTCACATGTGGGCCTACCAGCTTTCTCCTGCTTGATTTGAAGCCGCTAGAATTTATGAGTATATATACGTCAAACATGGTACCTCGTAAGACGTATATATATGGCCGCGACAGTCAAAGGGTTAAGAGGGAATAAAGAATAACATCTATGAAGAGATTAAGAAATACCAAATTCTAGAGGCAGGAAGTACAATTGAATAGCTGCACCTGAGAGTGCCATTGCATCATGATGCCTGCAAATTTTTGAAAAGACAGTTAAAGTGATAGTGACTAAATTTACTTCTTTAAGTCACCCAGCCTTAGTATTAAATGATAGGGTCACCTAAGGTGAAAAATAAATACAGTCAGCATTACTCACACTCAAGCTATCTTAACCCTTTGACTGTCGCGGCCGTATATATACGTCTTACGAGGTACCGTGTTTGACGTATATATACTCATAAATTCTAGCGGCTTCAAATCAAGCAGGAGAAAGCTGGTAGGTCCACATGTGAGAGAATGGGTCAGTGTGCACCATATAAAAAAAATCCTGGAGCACACAGTGCATAATGAGACAAAAAAACTCCGACCGTTTTTTTTAATTAAAATGCCGACTTTGTGGTCTATTTTCTTATAGTATTTATGGTTGTATTCTCGTTTTCTTGGTCTCATTTGATAGAATGGAAAACATATTATAGAAATAGAGGTGATTTTGATTGATTTTACTATAAAAAGAACCTAGAAATGGAGCTCAAAGTAGGGGAAATGTTTGATTTTTGCCAATGTTCAAAAGTAAACAAATGATGCCATTGTCCAATAAATGTCCAACTAGCCATTCTAATATGCAGTCATGAATAGATTGATGTTATTTATACAATTATTACAGTATTGCAGTAGTCTGCATAATAGTAAGTCTTCTATTTTTTGTTTGAATAAAAATTCAAAATAGAAAGCAAGAGTAACATCAGAGGGGCCTCGAGACATGACTGATGAGCAAAGAAATGCTATTTTAGAGCCAGGAATGTCTGCATTGTTCATTCTGGACCTTATTTTGAAATTGTCATATTTTTTAGTTTTCGTGAAATTGGCCAAATTGCAAATTTCTGACCACATTATTAGGTAGTTGAAATCGGTAAATGGGCAGTTTCTTGTACTCAATCGATAGAAAAAATGGAGTTCTAAAGAAATAGCTATGAGTTTGGGCGACTGGAACAATGGAATTAGCCGAAAATAGGGCTCAAAGTGCGCGAAATCGCCGATTTGTAAACAGCGCCAAGGTCGCTAACTTCGCGAGAGCATAATTCCGTCAGTTTTCCATCAAATTTCGTTTTTTTGGTGTCATTACAATCGGGAAAAGAATCTCTATCATTTCATAAGAAAAAATATTTTTTTTTTTTTTTTAAATTTTGCGACACCAGGAGACACCTCAGGATTGGGGGTTGCGACAGTCAAAAGGTTAACAAAGTGCATGGATACCACAATCTACAGGCATTATCCACGGAACTACAGAATCCTTTCCACCTCCAGAACTCAAGACCAAGCAAAAACTTATCCTGACACAGGTACGAGGGGAAGACACAGGTATGAGATTTACCATGAATAGCCATAAGTTGAGATGAAGCACCTGACTTGTCTCATCAAACCACAGACCCCGGAGCCACAAATCGAAGTAGACTTGTGTAGTGCCATTGTGGGTGCGCTGGGGCAGAGTGTTCTTGTCATAGTTCCGGAGCACTTCATTCCTTATCTTTTCATTGAAGTTCCACCAGTCTGTGTCTGAGAAACACCAGTGTCTTAAAGTTTACTACATCTGAATCAAACTTCACTGTGTGTGTGTGTGTTTGCTACACTGTCCTCTGATATCTGTCCCTGAGATGATTATTTTGACTAGTGTTTTGTTGCTCTGTGGCCACAGTGCAGGTTTTCACAGAGGAATCTCACATCAGCATAGCTGTTGCAGGCTATAGCTCATGTCCATCCAAAACCATTGCAAATGACTCATGAATAACCTGAAGGGACTAGAGCTAGTTTGTAAAACAGCCATGCCAGTGTGAGATTCGTTTACAAAAACCTACTTTTGTGGTCACAGATGACCGTGCTAACCTTCCTAGTGTGTATAGAAATTCACCTAGTTGGATGAATGTTATTAAGCTGGTATGATACAGTGGATAGTGCATTGGCCTGTTACGTTTACCACTGGCTTGCCATGGGTTCAAGTTCAGTTCATTTCAGTGAGTTGTTTACTTTCATGTCATTAAGATTTCATGAGTCAGTATTTTATAATGATAAATTTAGGATGTCCTACTTTTATATACACTCCATTCTGTGGCATTATTTAACTTTCATGCTGTTAATATTAGTCATGCCTTTAAAACTGCCCAAAATGTTATGCAGAACTATGGGCTTTTCCTTACAACTTGTATATACTGTTAACCTACTATTGTACAGTATCTTCTTAAGAAATAAAGTTCTTTTCTTTCAACACACCGGCCATATTCCACAGAGGCAGGGTGGCCCAAAAGGAAAAACGAAAGTTTCTACTTTTATATTTAGTAATATATACAGGAGAAGAGGTTACTAGCCCCTTGCTCCCGGCATTTTAGTCACCTCTTACAACACGCATGGCTTATGGAGGAAGAATTCTGTTCCACTTCCCCATGGAGATAAGAGGAAATAAACAAGAACAAGAACTAGAAAGAAAATAGAAGAAAACCCAGAGGGGTGTGTATATATATACATGCTTGTACATGTATGTGTAGTGTGACCTAAGTGTAAGTAGAAGTAGCAAGATGTGCCTGAAATCTTGCATGTTTATGAGACAGAAAAAAGGACATCAGCAATCCTACCATCATGTAAAACAATTACAGGCTTTTGTTTTACACTCACTTGGCAGGACGGTAGTACCTCCCTGGGTGGTTGCTGTCTACCAACCTACTACCTATAAGAAATAAAGTTATCTTGGTAAATAGATTCAAGGAAACAAAAGTCTTTATTTATATAGGCAAACCTCTATATATTGAATCTTTTTATCATTACTTGTCAGGTGTTGCCACAATTTCATATAATGTAGTTATCTTATCTATTAGAGATCCCTTCTCTAACCCTCCTGGGAGACAAGGCCCTAGAATCCTTGTAGGACCCCTCCGATTTCCTCCCACACCAAGCAGGGGCTAGATCAATCTTTCTAGTTCCCTACCATTCCCCTCCTACCCTATGCAAGAACTAGATCAATCCTTACAAACCCTGTCCTCTCCTCTCCTCCAATCCCTTTCACACTAAGCAAACTAGGTCAACCCTTTCAATCCCATTCCATGACAAGCAGAGACTAGTGCAAACCTTTTGGACCCCTCCCATACCAAGCAGGGACCAAATTAGTCTTTTCAGAACTTCCTCCAATTCCTTCTCACAATAAGCAAGAACCAGATAAAAGCATTACAAACAAAACTCTTACAATGAGGAGAAAATATCAGAAGCAAAACCAAACACTGAACCCAGTAAAAGCCATAGCAGAAACATAATGAAAACATTTTGTTCTGTCTTTAAAATATGGTGTGAGAAGCAATGTGGTGTTCAGTAATGAGGTTGGGACCAGTCAGTGCCTCCTTTCCCATGCTATGGGGGAGGGGAAAGAGGCAGGGTGTGTAAGTGAAGATGATGGGAACACACTGGTTTGAAGGAATTACATACCTACATCTCTCATGGTGTGCATGGGAAACAAATAAATACTGTGTTTATTGTAAGCACGATAGTGTGAACAACAGTGTGCAATCCGTGTGTAGGGAAGTGCCCTCACCCTACTCCCCGGGCTTGCACTGTGGGTAGTGTACCCTCCCGTGCCTCCCATAACCCCTCACCCAGGGCTTCCTCCACCAAACTACCTGCACCTTCCCCATTCAACTCCCCTGCCTCACCCACCCAACTCCCAACCGCACCCCAACTGTAGAGGGTACTGTTTCCCTCCCAGCCCACGATGTCAGCGATGTCACAAAATGTGCCAGGTCCCCAGGAGCTTCCACTACAGAGCCAGCACCGTGGAATTTGACCATGAGGCAACTGTCAGGTGTGCCACAGGAAGTGTGCACTCATTCCCTCAAATTCCAACATATGTGCATACAGTGGATGTCTAGGCTCCTGGAGAGCTCCAAGTGGGAACAACCAACAGCCCCTCCCAGCAGACAGCGCTGACAGTTACCGTGACTTCACCTCTACAGAGGATCTGGGATCTGCAATCAAATTAACATCCACCAAGATGCTGACACATCCCCAACGCAGCAAAGTCACTGACCTCTTGGGGAGGGTCAATGGTGCCCCTGCAAGCAGCAGATCCTGGCATAACCAACTGCTGTTTGCAATAGCTGTCTGGCTGTCCCACCAAGGAGGGACAAGCGCCTTGCAACATCTGTTATTAGGGCAATAAATATACTGTATTCCCTAAAATGTTTATTAATTTCTGATATATATTCATTGTCTTCTATTTTTTATTGTATTCCAACAGACTGATAATTAATTTTCACAGTGAAATCTATTAAAATTTAGTATTCTTCATTTCTTTTCTTCATTCATTTTTTTTCTTCATACAGTGGAACCCCGGATTTCGACCAGTGCAGATATCATACAATTCGAATTTCAACCACTTTTTTGGGCGAAGTTTTACCCTGGGTTTCAAACCTCTGCTCAGAAATTGTCCATATCAGATGCGTCCACCCGCCCAGGACGTGGCCGCTCACATGTATGTGACTCAGTCTGCCTCTGTCACTCGTTCAGTGAGTAATACTCTATGCATTCATCCAAAACATTTCATAATAATCCATTGTTTTTTGTGCTTGTTTATTGAGTGCAACTGCGAAATAAGCCACCATGGGGCCAAAGAAAGTTCCTAGTGCCAACCCTTTGGTAAAGAAGGTGAGAAACGTGATAAAATTCAAGAAAGGGCTTGTAGCAAAATACGAAAGTGATATACATGTGGCCAAGCTCGCCAGGATGTATTGATGTATTCCAAACAATAACTTCTGCCCCCTCTCCCCTCCTCGCCTTCTTCTCATTATTTTCTGTATGTAGAACTATAGTTATTCTTTATAAAATGTATTTTTGTTAATATTTTTGGGTGTCTGGAATAAATTAATTGGATTTACATTATTTCTTATGGGAAATATTACTTCGGTTTTCATCCATTTCAAATTTTGACTGACCTTCTAGAACGGATTAAGGACAAAAACTAGGGTTCCACTGTATTTTCTTTTATATTTTCATAATTCTTTTGGCCTACTCATTCTATCTTCATCATATTTTATTCAATATTTTATATATTTTATGTGTCATTTTTATATAATCTAGGTAGTAGGTTGGTAGACAGCAACCGCCCAGGGAGGTACTACCGTCCTGCCAAGCGAGTGTAGAACTGAAGCATGTAATTGTTTTACACGATGGTAGGATTGCTGGTGTCTTTTTTTTTCTGTCTCATACACATGCAAGATTTCAGTATGTCTTGCTACTTCTACTTACACTTAGGTCACACTACACATACATGTACAAGCATATATATACACACCCTTTTGAGTTTTCTTCTATTTTTTTTCTAGTTCTTGTTCATGTTTATTTCCTCTTACCTCCATGGGGAAGTGGAACAGAATTCTTCCTCCGTAAGCCATGCGTGTTGTAAGAGGCGACTAAAATGCCGGGAGCAAGGGGCTAGTAACCCCTTCTCCTGTATATATTACTAAATGTAAAAGGAGAAACTTTCGTTTTTCCTTTTGGGCCACCCTGCCTCGGTGGGATACGGCCGGTGTGTTGAAAGAAAGAAAGATTTTTATATAATTTCTTATCTGCCACATTTAATATTTTAAATTAATGTAATATTATTGATGAGGTAACAAAAAGACCCCAATAGAAATAAGTCACTCTGTCTGACTTTTTTGGGTTATCCTAGGTTCTCTACACACATGCTGCTATGTATGATAATCTATGTACATAACTATATTTGTTTTTTTTTTGTTTTTTTAACAAGTCAGCCGTCTCCCACCAAGGGAGGGTGACCCAAAAAGAAAGAAAATTGCCATAAACAAAATACTTTCATCATCGTTCAACACTTTCACCTCACTCACACATAATCACTGTTTTTGCAGAGGTGCCCAGAATACAACAGTTCCGAATCCTATACATATAAAGATACACAACATATCCCTCCAAACTGCCAATATCCCAAACCCCTCCTTTAAAGTGCAGGCATTGTACTTCCCATTTCCAGGACTCAAGTCCGGCTATATAAAAATAACCGGTTTCCCTGAATCCCTTCACTAAATATTACCCTGCTCACACTCAACAGCTCATCAGGTCCCAAATACCATTCGTCTCCATTCACTCCTATCTAACATGCTCATGCACGCTTGCTGGAAGTCCAAGCCCCTTGCCACAAAACCTCCCTCCAACCTTTTCGAGGACAACCCCTACCCCACCTTCCTTCCCCAACAGATTTATACACTCTCCATGTCATTATATTTTGATCTATTCTCTCTAAATGACCAAACCACCTCAACAACCCCTCTTCAGCCCTCTGACTAATGCTTTTATTAACTCCTCACCTTCTTCTAATTTCCACACTCCGAATTTTCTGCATAATATTTACACCACACATTGCCCTCAGACACGACATCTCCACTGCCTCCAACTGCCTCCTTGCTGCCGCATTTACAACCCAAGCTTCACACCCATATAAGAGTGTTGGTACTACTATACTTTCATACATTCTCTTCTTTGCCTCTATAGATAACGTTTTTTGACTCCACATATACCTCAACGCACCACTCATCTTTATTCTCTCATCAATTCTATGATTAACCTCATCCTTCATAAATCCATCCGCTTACACCTCAACTTCCAAATATCTGAAAACATTCACTTCTTCCATACTCCTCCTCCCCAATTTGATATCCAATTTTTCTTTATCTAAATCATTTGATACCCTCATCACCTTACTCTTTTCTATGTTCACTTTCAACCCTACACCTTTACACACTCCCAAACTCATCCACTAACCTTTGCAATCTTTCTTTAGAATCTCCCATAAGCACAGTATCGTCAGCAAAAAGTAACTGTCAATTCCCATTCTGTATTTGATTCCCCACAATTTAATCCCACCCCTCTCCCAAACACCCTAGTATTTACTTCTTTTATAACCCCATCTACAAATATATTAAACAACCATGGTGACATTGCACATCCCTGTCTAAGACCTACTTTTACTGGGAAGTAGTCTCCCTCTCTTCTACACACCCTAACCTGAGCCTCACTATCCTCATAAAAACTCTTTACAGCATTTAATAACTTACCACCTATTCCATATACTTGCAACATCTGCCACATTGCTCCCCTATCCACTCTATCATATGCCTTTTCTAAATTCATAAATGCAATAAAAACTTCCCTATCTTTATCTAAATACTGTTCACATATATGCTTCAATGTGGTATAAACCTTGGTAATAAATACCGACAAGTTGGTTTAGAAAGACACGTAAGCAAACACTATAACATATTTATTAGAAAACATTCCGGTCCTGGGACCTTGATCACTTCTAACATGTTAGAAGTGATCAAGGTCCCAGGACCGGAACGTTTTCTAATAAATATGTTATAGTGTTTGCTTACGTGTCTTTCTAAACCAACCATGCTTCAATGTAAACGCTTGATCTACACATCCCCTACCCACTCTGAAACCTCCTTGCTCATCCGCAATCCTACTTTCTGTCTTACCTCTAATTCTTTCAATTATAACCCTACCGTACACTTTTCCTGGTATACTCAGTAAACTTATTCCTCTATAATTTTTACAATCTCTTTTGTCCCCTTTCCCTTTATATAAAGGGACTATACATGCTCTCCGCCAATCCCTAGGTACCTGCCCCTGTTTCATACATTTATTAAACAAAAATACCAACTACTCCAACACTATATCCCCCTGCTTTTAACATTTCTATCATGATCCCGTCAGTTCCAGCTGCTTTACCCCCTTTCATTCTATGTAATGCCTCATGCACCTCCCCCACACTCACATCCTGCTCTTCTTCACTCCTAAAAGATGCTATACCTCCCTGGCCAGTGCATGAAATTACCGCCTCCCTTTCTTCGTCGACATTTAAAAGTTCCTCAAAATATTCTCGCCATGTACCCAATACCTCCATCTCCCCATCTACTAACTCCCCTACTCTGTTTTTAACTAACAAATCCATTCATTCCCTAGGCTTTCTTAACTTGTTTAACTCACTCCAAATTTTTTTCTTATTTTCATTAAAATTTCTTGACAGTGCCTCTCCCACTTTATCATCTGCTCTCCTTTTGCACTCTCTCACCACTCTCTTCACCTTTCTTTTACTCTCCATATACTCTACTCTTCTTATAACACTTCTGCTTTGTAAAAACCTCTCATAAGCTACCTTTTTCTCTTTTATATTTGTGTATACCTGAATAAACTCAGCCATTTCCCACTGAGGCAGGGTGCCCCAAAAAGAAAGGAAAACCCAAAAAGAAAGAAAAAACTTTCATCATCATTCAACACTTTCACCATCACTCATACATAATCACTGTCTTTGCAGAGGTATTTTTTTCATAATGTTATTTTCTTGGGTGTTAATGTTGCAGTTTTATAACTGCAGTGTAAGTGCACCTCTGGCAAGACAGTGACAGAGTGAATGATGATAAAAGTTTTTCTTTTTTGGGCCACCTTGCCTTGGTGGGAGACAGCTGATGTGTTATTAAAATAAAAAAATATAAATTATGATTGTTTGAGCATGACTGACCTGCAGCAGCTGGAGGCAGGAAAGCTATAGCAGTCAGCAGTGCACCCAGGGACAGCACCCACCTCATGCCTCCCATGCTGTCTCTGACACCTCACCACCACACACACAAACACACACACCACTCTGAAAGAAGCTTCTATTAGCACATGCTCATTACAAGACTATACCACAAAACATGTGACTAGTAATTAAACCTACCACTTTCTAATTTGTCAACTGAATCTACATATGTGCATTCCTTATTCAGGAAAACTTTTTTTTTCAACAAACCAGCCATATCCACTGAGGCAGGATGACCTAAAAAGAAAAATGAAAGTTCTTCTTTTTAAATTTAGTAATTTATACAGAAAGGGTTACTTGCTCCTTGCTGCCAGCATTTTAGTGGCCTCTTATGACACACATGACTCAGGAAAAACTTGCAAGTTTATATTCCACTATTACTACATAGATCATATAACACCCAGGAAATGCTAGGTACTAGTAATCAAGTTTGATATAAGGAAGGGTAGCTCCAATTCCATGGATGATGATTTGTTCGCTAACATTACATTCTGTTCTGTGAATTGGTCACCAACAGGAGCAACATTTTCAGTGCACCTGTACCAGTGCACCCTACTTTGAAAGGCACTAAGGGAAGATGCTTTGTTTGGGAATGAGGTTAGAAAATTTTAAGAGTGCTGGGACTAACCGGCCATCTAGAGCTCTTATTACTAAAAGGTCACATATACTGAAATAGTAACTCTAAGCCTGTAAATATAATAATGGTATACAGTAATAGTACATTAATATGTAAGACACATGTGCAACAGTTAGGTATCTATATTTCAAAACATTTAGTCTACACTGTAGGTACCATCTGTCTTTACATTTCCACAGCTTCTTCTGCCTCCAATGTATTCAACTGATGTTGCCTACTGTGAAGGCAAGACATTTGGAATATTGATACCTAACTGCTGCACTTGAGTCTTACTTATCTTAGCCTGTAAATTCAATGGCATAAAAACTAAAACTTCACATAATAAAAACCAGTTCCATTAACAAGAGCACAATAAAAACAATAAATAATCACAAAGTAAACTAAAAATATTAAATGAATAACATTAAAAAGATCTCTAAAGTTTCCATGTCTTGGCACACGCCCTGAAGCCATATAGCCCACACTGAAAACAAAATGGCCAAAGTTGCTGGCAAATCATTAAAATTTAGACCATGGTCAGTGGCATACCACAAGACACAGAAAGATAGAAAGAAGCACCAACCTGAGGTGCTTGTTGATGGAAGGACATCAACAGAAAGGATGAGGGAGTCACAGTTGATGTAGGAAATTAGTGTCAGTACTTTTCTCATTATATATTTACTTAGGGTATAGCTCATTAACAAGTGGAATGAACATCAGGATAGAGTAATGCTTCCTGTTTATATATAAAACAACATTAGTCTTAGGTAGTAGGTTGGTAGACAGCAACCACCCAGGGAAGTACTACCGTCCTGCCAGATGACTGTGAAACAAAAACCTGTAACTGTTTTGCATGATGGTAGGATTGCTGGTTTCTTTTTCTGTCTCATAAACACGCTAGATAACAGGGATATCTTGCTACTCCTACTTACACTTTGGTCACACTTCACAGACACGCACATGCATATATATATATACATACATCTAGGTTTTTCTCCTTTTTCTAAATAGCTCTTGTTCTTTTTTATTTCTTCTATTGTCCATGGGGAAGTGGAAAAGAATCTTTCCTCCGTAAGCCATGCGTGTCGTATGAGGCGACTAAAATGCCGGGAGCAATGGGCTAGTAACCCCTTCTCCTGTATACATTTACTAAAAAAGAGAAGAAGAAAAACTTTATAAAATTGGGATGCTTAAATGTGCGTGGATGTAGTGCGGATGACAAGAAACAGATGATTGCTGATGTTATGAATGAAAAGAAGTTGGATGTCCTGGCTCTAAGCGAAACAAAGCTGAAGGGGGTAGGAGAATTTCAGTGGGGGGAAATAAATGGGATTAAATCTGGAGTGTCTGAGAGAGTTAGAGCAAAGGAACGGGTAGCAGTAATGTTAAATGATCAGTTATGGAAGGAGAAAAGAGAATATGAATGTGTAAATTCAAGAATTATGTGGATTAAAGTAAAGGTTGGATCGCGAGAAGTGGGTCATAATAAGCGTGTATGCACCTGGAAAAGAGAGGAATGCAGAGGAGAGAGAGAGATTTTGGGAGATGTTAAGTGAATGTATAGGAGCCTTTGAACCAAGTGAGAGAGTAATTGTGGTAGGGGACCTGAATGCTAAAGTAGGAGAAACTTTTAGAGAGGGTGTGGTAGGTAAGTTTGGGGTGCCAGGTGTAAATGATAATGGGAGCCCTTTGATTGAACTTTGTATAGAAAGGGGTTTAGTTATAGGTAATACATATTTTAAGAAAAAGAGGATAAATAAGTATACACGATATGATGTAGGGCGAAATGACAGTAGTTTGTTGGATTATGTATTGGTAGATAAAAGACTGTTGAGTAGACTTCAGGATGTACATGTTTATAGAGGGGCCACAGATATATCAGATCACTTTCTAGTTGTAGCTACACTGAGAGTAAAAGGTAGATGGGATACAAGGAGAATAGAAGCATCAGGGAAGAGAGAGGTGAAGGTTTATAAACTAAAAGAGGAGGCAGTTAGGGTAAGATATAAACAGCTATTGGAGGATAGATGGGCTAATGAGAGCATAGGCAATGGGGTCGAAGAGGTATGGGGTAGGTTTAAAAATGTAGTGTTAGAGTGTTCAGCAGAAGTTTGTGGTTACAGGAAAGTGGGTGCAGGAGGGAAGAGGAGTGATTGGTGGAATGATGATGTAAAGAGAGTAGTAAGGGAGAAAAAGTTAGCATATGAGAAGTTTTTACAAAGTAGAAGTGATGCAAGGAGGGAAGAGTATATGGAGAAAAAGAGAGAGGTTAAGAGAGTGTGTGAAGCAATGTAAAAAGAGAGCAAATGAGAGAGTGGGTGAGATGTTATCAACAAATTTTGTTGAAAATAAGAAAAAGTTTTGGAGTGAGATTAACAAGTTAAGAAAGCCTAGAGAACAAATGGATTTGTCAGTTAAAAATAGGAGAGGAGAGTTATTAAATGGAGAGTTAGAGGTATTGGGAAGATGGAGGGAATATTTTGAGGAATTGTTAAATGTTGATGAAGATAGGGAAGCTGTGATTTCGTGTATAGGGCAAGGAGGAATAACATCTTGTAGGAGTGAGGAAGAGCCAGTTGTGAGTGTGGGGGAAGTTTGTGAGGCAGTAGGTAAAATGAAAGGGGGTAAGGCAGCCGGGATTGATGGGATAAAGATAGAAATGTTAAAAGCAGGTGGGGATATAGTTTTGGAGTGGTTGGTTGCAATTATTTAATAAATGTATGGAAGAGGGTAAGGTACCTAGGGATTGGCAGAGAGCATGCATAGTTCCTTTGTATAAAGGCAAAGGGGATAAAAGAGAGTGCAAAAATTATAGGGGGATAAGTCTGTTGAGTGTACCTGGTAAAGTGTATGGTAGAGTTATAATTGAAAGAATTAAGAGTAAGACGGAGAATAGGATAGCAGATGAACAAGGAGGCTTTAGGAAAGGTAGGGGGTGTGTGGACCAGGTGTTTACAGTGAAACATATAAGTGAACAGTATTTAGATAAGGCTAAAGAGGTCTTTGTGGCATTTATGGATTTGGAAAAGGCGTATGACAGGGTGGATAGGGGGGCAATGTGGTAGATGTTGCAAGTGTATGGTGTAGGAGGTAGGTTACTGAAAGCAGTGAAGAGTTTTTACGAGGATAGTGAGGCTCAAGTTAGAGTATGTAGGAAAGAGGGAAATTTTTTCCCAGTAAAAGTAGGCCTTAGACAAGGATGTGTGATGTCACCGTGGTTGTTTAATATATTTATAGATGGGGTTGTAAGAGAAGTAAATGCGAGGGTCTTGGCAAGAGGCGTGGAGTTAAAAGATAAAGAATCACACACAAAGTGGGAGTTGTCACAGCTGCTCTTTGCTGATGACACTGTGCTCTTGGGAGATTCTGAAGAGAAGCTGCAGAGATTGGTGGATGAATTTGGTAGGGTTGTGCAAAAGAAGAAAATTAAAGGTGAATACAGGAAAGAGTAAGGTTATGAGGATAACAAAAAGATTAGGTGATGAAAGATTGAATATCAGATTGGAGGGAGAGAGTATGGAGGAGGTGAACGTATTCAGATATTTGGGAGTGGACGTGTCAGCGGATGGGTCTATGAAAGATGAGGTGAATCATAGAATTGATGAGGGAAAAAGAGTGAGTGGTGCACTTAGGAGTCTGTGGAACAAAGAACTTTGTCCTTGGAGGCAAAGAGGGGAATGTATGAAGAGTATAGTTTTACCAACGCTCTATATGGGTGTGAAGCGTGGGTGATGAATGTTTGCAGCGAGGAGAAGGCTGGAGGCAGTGGAGATGTCATGTCTGAGGGCAATGTGTGGTGTGAATATAATGCAGAGAATTCGTAGTTTGGAAGTTAGGAGGAGGTGCGGGATTACCAAAACTGTTGTCCAGAGGGCTGAGGAAGGGTTGTTGAGGTGGTTCGGACATGTAGAGAGAATGGAGCGAAACAGAATGACTTCAAGAGTGTATCAGTCTGTAGTGGAAGGAAGGCGGGGTAGGGGTCGGCCTAGGAAGGGTTGGAGGAGGGGGTAAAGGAGGTTTTGTGTGCGAGGGGCTTGGACTCCAGCAGGCATGCGTGAGCGTGTTTGATAGGAGTGAATGGAGACAAATGGTTTTTAATACTTGACGTGCTGTTGGAGTGTGAGCAAAGTAACATTTATGAAGGGATTCAGGGAAACCGGCAGGCCGGACTTGAGTCCTGGAGATGGGAAGTACAGTGCCTGCACTCTGAAGGAGGGGTGTTAATGTTGCAGTTTAAAAACTGTAGTGTAAAGCACCCTTCTGGCAAGACAGTGATGGAGCGAATGATGGTGAAAGTTTTTCTTTTTCGGGCCACCCTGCCTTGGTGGGAATCGGCCAGTGTGATATTAAAAAAAAAAAAAAAGAATAATTAGTCTGGGGTAAAAATCAATGAATAACTGGGCAAAAATAAGAGGGAAGAGTTGACAATTAGTATATAAACTAGTAAATAAACTGTGTCTAAACTAGTTTCAAAAATATAAATACTACCATGATATTATATGCAAGGAACAATGTTTGCCTGTGTTGCTGAGTATGGCTTTAACTGTAACTTGACCAAGCTGTCGACAGTAGTTCCTGAGCAGCATCAGTTCTCTTTAATCAGCTTCAAAGATAAGCTCCAGAACTACAAGTACAGGAGGGCCCCACTTATACGGCAGGTTAGGTTCCAGGCTACCGCCGTAAAGCGGAAATCGCCGTAAAGTGGAACACCCTTTTTTTCCACTTATAAATGCACACAAACACTAGATAACAAGTTTACACTAACATATATTAAGTTAGCAATAGAACCAGGCATCAAAAAACAATAAAAAGGTACAATACACACATAGTGCACTCATTACTTACCTTAAAATATTTATAGTCTTAATCTAGGGTGAGACAAGTAGTATTTATTGTAAGAAATCAAGTGTGGTATGTATGGTAGTCAGCCAGGCTACCATACCAGGCCACCCCACCCACACATACAATTCTATGATATTTAAGCATCCCAGAGCGATAAAATGTATATACAGTTCACTCATTACTTACCTTAAAATATTTGTAGTCTTAATGTAGGGTCAGGAGTAAGTAAATGAGATAAAACGAATAAATGAGAGAGAGAAAGAATGAGTACATGAGAGGTAACAGGCGCAGAGTTATGTAAACAAACCAGGCTCCCACATCTTATATTTATGTTTATTTATTCTATTGTGGGGTGTATTTATCATCTTTTTATGTTATGTATCGTGTTTATTATATAATTTTGAAAAAAATATCATGGCTGGATTAATGAAAATGTGTATATTACCGCAATATACGACATTTAATGAGACTCGGTGAGTATTGTTATTATCACCACTTGTGCAAGTCGTCTGCTCACATCTCACATTTGTTTATTTATTCTACTGTGGGGTGTATTTATCTTATTTATATGTTATGCATCATGTTTATTATATAATTTTGAAAAAAATATCATGGATGGATTAATGAAAATGTGTATATTACCGCAATATACGACATTTAATGAGACTCGGTGAGTATTGTTATTATGGCGTCACTTGTGGAAGTCGTCTGCTCACATCTCACATTTATGTTTATTTATTCTACTGTGGGGTGTATTTATCTTATTTATATGTTATGCATCGTGTTTATTATATAATTTTGAAAAAAATATCATGGATGGATTAATGAAAATGTGTATATTACCGTAATATACGACATTTAATGAGACTCGGTGAGTATTGTTATTATGGCGTCACTTGTGGAAGTCGTCTGCTCACATCTCACATTTATGTTTATTTATTCTACTGTGGGGTGTATTTATCTTATTTATATGTTATGCATCGTGTTTATTATATAATTTTGAAAAAAATATCATGGATGGATTAATGAAAATGTGTATATTAACGTAATATACGACATTTAAATGACTCGATGTATGTAAGTTTATTTAGGTACAGGTATACATAAGTATAATTATCAGAGTATATATAAAATATGAAATAACTTTTAAAAACATTTGAAATTTTGGAGTTTCCAGACAAAATGGAGAGACTTAGTGCTTACTGAGCTCATGGAGAATGTAAACAAACAGGGTGGGGCACAGTGACCGTATTAGAAAGTCAGGTGGGGGGAGCCGTATAGTGAGTTTTGGTCATAATTTGAAATGTCCGTATTAGCGGAACGCCGTAAAGTGAAACGCCGTAAAGCGGGGCCTTCCTGTATACTGCTTAAACTTAAAAAAATATAAATCTTTTAGCCAGTTAAGTGTCAAATGAAGAATGAAAAAAATTCAGATATTAAATATAAACACTTTGTACCTGTGAGTTGTTGGTAGTAAAGATTGGCGCCTCTCACTTTTCCCACACTTACAGCATCATGGTGCAATACCAATCACTCAAGCCACACATGCTCTCTCCAGTCCATTATATACTATACCCAGGATACTCTGCATGAGGGGGGAGGGCACGGTATTGATGACGTGGGCGGAGTCAGCAAGCGTGTGTTGATGTTACAAACAAGATTGATGACCTGTGCTGAGACAACAGCCAGGCCTGATCAGCACTGTTTTTAGATTTCCATATCACAATAATAACTGGCACAAATATTTTTCATTTATTGGGAATATAATGAGGCAAAAGTATGAAGCTTCTGAAACAAACATAAATATGGAACTGCAGGGTTGTGGAGATGAACTGTTGAATGTGTACATACTAGCTGTGCTAGCTGCTAAAGTAAAATATTTAGTGTAAAAGTGAGTTAAGACTCAGGTGGGGTTCTACAAGAACTGGAACTAAGACCAGTGCTGTTTCTGGTGCTGTAGGTGTAAACCACTTATCAGAATAGATAAAGTCCTCACTATTCCTTTTGCAGATGATGTGAAATTAATGGAAAAAATAAAAACTAGAGATGACAAGGAAAAGCTACAATATAACCAGGACAAACTACAGGATTGGCCATGTGGTTAATAGAATTCAACCTCAGTAAGCACAAGTTTTTGATAATTGGTCAAGGGATTATTATTATTTTTTATTAGATTTAGTGACAGGTGCTAAACCCACCAGAAAAATGGAGAAAATAAATGGCAAGACAGATGCTGCAAACTTCACACAAGGAGGACCTAGATGGGAACACAATATCAAACGTATCACTGGAACCACATATCAACTAAACGACTATCAAGCCTAAGATCAGTTTCCAGGAAGCTCAACAAAGTGATTCATGACACCATAAATATCTCAGGTCAGTCAGTGTGTGCTGCACCACTGTGAAACTCACTTCATTAAGCATGTCTAAAAAATTAGAGGAGGTACAGATATTTACACAAGAGTAGTCCTGAATTCAAGAGAAAAGACTTATGAGAGACTAAAAGAACAGAAACTGATGATCTTAGACAACAGAAGAACCAGGAATAACTGATTTTGATGTACAATATATTTAAAAGTACTTGACAGGGTGGAGAGGAAAACTTTTCAAGAAGCACAAAACTGGAACAAGGGGCGGAGATGTAAATTAAAGATGATAATGAACCTCAGTAATGTCAAGAAATGATTCTGCAGTCAGAAAAATGTAATTACATGAGGAAGTAGTGGTGAGAGACTCCATGCACAGATTAATAATAGGTACGGTAGAATTCATGTGAACCTAGTCAAAACCAGTTACAAGGCGAGGCCAAGAGATGAGATTTAATGACTGCATCTATAAACAAGCGAATACACAAACTGAAATGTGTTACTAGCTGGTGAGAGAACTGTCAAGTGTCTGGTGTTGTGATGAAGGATGAGTGAGTGACAGGTATATGGGTGTGTCAGATCATGTGTCCTACACCATTAATGCTTGGCTACATAGCAAGTCTGATAATTTTACACTACAGCAGAATCAAAAAACAAAACAAAACAAAATAAAAGTTTATTTCTTTGCAAAGGTTACAATGTGTGTTTATATTTCATAATTTAATTGGTACAAAGAAAACCACTATCATGCTGGGGCATTTCGGGTATCCTACTATTTGATAAGCAAAGACTGAGTATGTTAAGTGGAATTTATTTATAAATACAGTAAAATAATACTGTGTTAAAAGGGAAAACACAATTTTTGGGCAAGCCATGCAATGTATATGTTCTATTATTTCTGTCAGGCTGCCGAATATGTAAAATGTGACAACAATGAATTAGTGTATTACTTTATAAGATTTATTAATGAATTACATTACAGAGATTTTCCATGATTTTGAAAATGCACCCATATCTATTTTTAATTACCATTATTTACTGCAGCAGATCTGTTATCAGGATTTAGGTAATTAACCCTTTGACTGTCGCAGGCCCCTTTCTGAAACTGTCATTCTACAGTATGTCGATAAATTTTTGGAAAAAAGAAAAATTTTTTTTCCTATGAAATGATAGAGAATCTTTTCCCGATGGTAATGACACCAAAAGTACAAAATTTTGTCAAAAACTCACGGAATTACGCTCCCGCGAAGTTAGCGGTCTCGGCGACATATACACATTGGCGATTTCGCCGACTTTGAGCCCTGTTTTTGGCCAATTCCGTTGTGCCAGTTGACCAAACTCATAGCTATTTCTTTAGAACTCCATTTTTTCTATCAGTTGAGTACAAGAAACCACCCATTTACCGATTTGAACTACCCAATAAAATGGTCAGAGATTGGCAATTTGGCCAATTTCACGCAAATTAAGAAAGATGCCAATTTCAAAATAGAGTAGAGAATAAACAATGTAGACATTCTTGGCACTAAAATAACATATTCTCTGTTCATTAGTCACGTCTCTAGGCCCCTTTTATATTACTATGCTTTATATTTTGATTTTTTATTCATACAAAAAAATACAAAATTTACCGTTATGAAGATTACTGCATTATTGTAAAAATGGTATAAATTATATCAGTGCACTAGTGAAAGAATATCAGACTTCCCAGTTGAAGTGTATTGGATGTGTGGTGCGATTTGCTTACTCCTGAACATTGGTAAAAATTGAACATTTTCGCTATTTTGAGCTCAATTTCAAGGTCGTTTTCATCATGAAAGTAATCAAAATCATCTCTATTTCTTTAATGTGTTTTCCATTTTATCACCTGAGACCATGAAAACGAGAATACAATGATAAATACTATACGAAAATACACCTCAAAGTTGGAGTTTTAATCCAAAAAAACGTTCAGTTTTTTTTTTCTCATTACGCACTGCATGCTGCAAGAATTTTTTTATGTGATGCACACTGACCACACAGACCCATTCTCTCACATGTGGGCCTACCAGCTTTCTCCCTCTTGATTTGAAGCTGCTAGAATTTACACATATACATAGGTCAGAAACAGTGGCGCGTAATACGTATATATACGACCGAAACAGTCAATTGACAGTACCATAACATCTTTTATAATAATACATGTTCATATTACTGTACATATTACTGCAACATTATTACATACTTGGGAAGGTCCAAACATGTTTATAATGATTCTGAATTTTGTTTATTGTTATAATTCAACCCATTCTCACTTTACAGTTTAAATTCTTAGGCATTCCCCAATCATCAATTTCTGAATGTTCTCTGTATACAAATATTTTATTTTTTAAGTTAGGCTATGCAGTGCAACCTCGGTTTTCGTTTTTAATTCATTCCAGAGAGTCTGACAAAAACCAAATTCGACGAAAATTCAAGCAATATTTCCCATAAGAAATAATGTAAATCCAATTAATCCATTCCAGACACCCAACAATATTAACAAAAAATACATTTTATAGAGAATAACTATAGTTTTACATACAGAAAACAATGAGAAATAAATCTTTCTTTCAACACACTGGTCGTATCCCACCGAGGCGGGGTGGCCCGAAAGGAAAAACGAGTTTCTCCTTTCAAATTTAGTAATATATACAGGAGAAGGGGTTACTAGCCCCTTGCTCCCAGCATTATAGTCGCCTCTTACAACACGCATGGCTTACGGAGGAAGAATTCTGTTCCACTTCCCATGGAGATAAGAGGAAATAAACATGAACAAGAACTAGAAAGAAAATAGAAGAAAACCCAGAGGGGTATGCATATATACGCTTGCACATGTATGTGTAGTGTGACCTAAGTGTAAGTAGAAGTAGCAAGACATACCTGAAATCTTGCATGTTCATGAGACAGAAAAAAGGACACCAGCAATCCTACCATCATGTAAAACAATTACAGGCTTTCGTTTTACACTCACTTGGCAGGACGGTAGTACCTCCCTGGGTGGTTGCTGTCTACCAACCTACTACCTAGGTGAGAAATAAATATAAAGCATTAATTTTAATGGATAAATGAACATTTAAATCAGTTTTACCTTTATTGAAGACTCTTGTTTGTCTGAACTTGCAGCCTCGCCATACCTTAACGCACTGCGTATGCCAGATCGCTTTTTGAAGTTGACAAACCAGCCTCTGCTGGCCTTAAATTCATTAACAGCAGCACTCGTTCCAGGCACATTCTTTACGAGATCTGCATGCAACTATCTTGCGTTTTCACAAATTATTGCCTCCACAACACTATCTCCTGCTAACTGTTTTTCGTTGATCCAGACCAACAACTCCTCAACATCGATTGTTTGCGATCTCTATTTTGTAAGCACACTTACCCCTTTCACAACATCAGATTCCTTGATTTCTTCTTTCTTTGCCAGAATGGAATTGATCGTTGATGAGGACTTCCCGTACATCCTGGCGAGATTGACCACTTTCATACTTTTCTACAAGTTCTTTCTTGAATTCTATCATGTTTCTCACCTTCTTTGTCAAAGGGCTGGCACTCGTAACTTTCTTTGGCCCCATGGTGGCTTATTTAGCTGTCGCACTCAATAAACAAGCACAAAAAACAATCGATTCTTACAAAATGTTTCGAATGAGCTCACAGGGTAATTTTCACTCGACAAGAAACAAAGCCAGACTGACTTGGAGTGTGTGCGTGGGATGCTTTGTGTGGGCGCGGGGGACACGTTTGGTATGGCGGACGAAAATTAAATGAAAACTGGGACAACATTTGACGGAAAAAAGTCGTCGAAAACCAAATTTGATGAAAACCAGGGCAAATGAAAACCAAGGTTCCACTGTATTAACCTGTAAAATATGTATAATTAATCTGGAATAAGCAAATTAAAGTAAAATAATGCCATATTTCTGGCAGTGCAGTCTCAGTGAATACCATATCATCAATTTGCTCTCTTCTTCAGCATAACATCTAGACAAGATATTCTTGCAATAACCTGAAATTTAAAGCACATTTGGTATGGTCAGATAATTATGTTTCATTGTCAGGTTTGTCAGTATATCCTCCTAGTTACTGTGTTGGAAAACATTTTCTGCTTAAGACTCATCATTTCTTCACTTCCTTGAGACAACAAAGACACACTTCAAGTATAACTGCAGCTGTATGTGGCTTGTAACTAGATAGGTGTCCATATATTATTATTATTATTATTATTATTTTTTAAAACACTGGTCATCTTCCACCAAGGCAGAGTGACCTTTATACATTTAGTAATTTATACAGGAGAAGGGGTTACTAACACCTTAGTCCTGGCATTTTAGTTACGTCATTATTATTGTTATGAGAAAGACCAAACCTGTAGGAGTCACACAGTGCAAGGGTAATGAGAAACAATCAGGCTGATTCCATGGAAGTCCACTTCCTTGGATCAAGAGCCCCTTACTGGTATCAAAGCACCGTCCTTGAGTGACGTAACAGAGAATAACCAAACTCCAAATAAAATTATGGGTTATGGTTTTTATTATTATCACACTGGCCGATTCCCACCAAGGCAGGGTGGCCCGAAAAAGAAAAACTTTCACCATCATTCACTCCATCACTGTCTTGCCAGAAGGGTGCTTTACACTACAGTTTTTAAACTGCAACATTAACACCCCTCCTTCAGAGTGCAGGCACTGTACTTCTCATCTCCAGGACTCAAGTCCGGCCTGCCGGTTTCCCTGAACCCCTTCATAAATGTTACTTTGCTCACACTCCAACAGTACGTCAAGTATTAAAAACCATTTGTCTCCATTCACTCCTATCAAACACGCTCACGCATGCCTGCTGGAAATCCAAGCCCCTCGCACACAAAAACCTCCTTTACCCCCCTCCCTCCAACCTTTCCTAGGGCCGACCCCTACCCCGCCTTCCTTCCACTACAGACTGATACACTCTTGAAGTTACTCTGTTTCGCTCCATTCTCTCCACATGTCCGAACCACCTCAACAACCCTTCCTCAGCCCTCTGGACAACAGTTTTGGTAATCCCGCACCTCCTCCTAACTTCCAAACTACGAATTCTCTGCATTATATTCACACCACACATTGCTCTCAGACATGACATCTCCACTGCCTCCAGCCTTCTCCTCGCTGCAACATTCATCACCCATGCTTCATACCCATATAAGAGCGTTGGTAAAACTATACTCTCATACATTCCCCTCTTTGCCTCCAAGGACAAAGTTCTTTGTCTCCACAGACTCCTAAGTGCACCACTCACCCTTTTCCCCTCATCAATTCTATGATTCACCTCATCTTTCATAGACCCATCCGCTGACACGTCCACTCCCAAATATCTGAATACATTCACTTCCTCCATACTCTCTCCCTCCAATCTGATATCCAATCTTTCATCACCTAATCTTTTTGTTATCCTCATAACCTTACTCTTTCCTGTATTCACTTTCAATTTTCTTCTTTTGCACACCCTACCAAATTCATCCACCAATCTCTGCAACTTCTCTTCAGAATCTCCCAAGAGCACAGTGTCATCAGCAAAGAGCAACTGTGACAACTCCCACTATATGTGTGATTCTTTATCTTTTAACTCCACGCCTCTTGCCAAGACCCTCGCATTTACTTCTCTTACAACCCCATCTATAAATATATTAAACAACCATGGTGACATCACACATCCTTGTCTAAGGCCTACTTTTACTGGGAAATAATTTCCCTCTTTCCTACATACTCTAACTTGAGCCTCACTATCCTCGAAAAAACTCTTCACTGCTTTCAGTAACCTACCTCCTACACCATACACCTGCAACATCTGCCACATTCCCCCCCTATCCACCCTGTCATACGCCTTTTCCAAATCCATAAATGCCACAAAGACCTCTTTAGCCTTATCTAAATACTGTTCACTTATATGTTTCACTGTAAACACCTGGTCCACACACCCCCTACCTTTCCTAAAGCCTCCTTGTTCATCTGATATCCTATTCTCCGTCTTACTCTTAATTCTTTCAATAATAACTCTACCATACACTTTGCCAGGTATACTCAACAGACTTATCCCCCTATAATTTTTGCACTCTCTTTTATCCCCTTTGCCTTTATACAAAGGAACTATGCATGCTCTCTGCCAATCCCTAAGTACCTTACCCTCTTCCATACATTTATTAAATAATTGCACCAACCACTCCAAAACTATATCCCCACCTGCTTTTAACATTTCTATCTTTATCCCATCAATCCCGGCTGCCTTACCCCCTTTCATTTTACCTACTGCCTCACGAACTTCCCCCACACTCACAACTGGCTCTTCCTCACTCCTACAAGATGTTGTTCCTCCTTGCCCTTTACACGAAATCACAGCTTCCCTATCTTCATTAACATTTAACAATTCCTCAAAATATTCCCTCCATCTTCCCAATACCTCTAACTCTCCATTTAATAACTCTCCTCTCCTATTTTTAACTGACAAATCCATTTGTTCTCTAGGCTTTCTTAACTTGTTAATCTCACTCCAAAACTTTTTCTAATTTTCAACAAAATTTGTTGATAACATCTCACCCACTCTCTCATTTGCTCTCTTTTTACATTGCTTCACCACTCTCTTAACCTCTCTCTTTTTCTCCATATACTCTTCCCTCCTTTCATCACTTCTACTTTGTAAAAACTTCTCATATGCTAACTTTTTCTCCCTTACTACTCTCTTCACATCATCATTCCACCAATCGCTCCTCTTCCCTCCCGCACCAAATATTTTGAAAGATCAAGAATTTTTATTAGGTTTAAGTAAACCAGTTTAGCATCTATATGTAAGGTAACAAATAATTTTTTTTTCAACACACTGGATGTCTCCCACTGAGGCAGGGTGGCCCATAAAGAAAAACAATTTCACCATCAATCACCCATAATCACTGTCTTTGCAGAGGCACTCAGATATGGCAGTTGAGATGTCACTCTATACAGCCAATATTCTAAACCCTTCCTTTCTGGTGCTGAAGATGGTAATAAATAAATTAAGCCTAGAATGACCTACGTAACTACAAATACTCTACCCATTTCAGGAGGGCACCATGATGTTGGTGAAGGGGTCTTGATCTACAGGAATTGGGGGCTACCCTTCTCTTTGTTGAATCAAACTTGATTACCTCCCATCTATTCCTCAGGTGTTGTATGACCATCTATGGGTTTAGAGCATCCCTGTGAATATTACAGTAGTAAAAGCAATAACAATAATAATAATGATAATAACAATTATAATAATAATAATAATAATAATAATAATAATAATAATAATAATAATAATAATAATAATAATAATAATAATAATAATAATAGTAAGGAGGTTTTGTGGGCAAGGGGCTTGGACTTCCAGCAAGCGTGCGTGAGCGTGTTAGATAGGAGTGAATGGAGACGAATGGTACTTGGGACCTGACGATCTGTTGGAGTGTGAGCAGGGTAATATTTAGTGAAGGGATTCAGGGAAACCGGTTATTTTCATATAGTCGGACTTGAGTCCTGGAAATGGGAAGTACAATGCCTGCACTTTAAAGGAGGGGTTTGGGATATTGGCAGTTTGGAGGGATATGTTGTGTATCTTTATATGTGTATGCTTCTAGACTGTTGTATTCTGAGCACCTCTGCAAAAACAGTGATAATGTGCGAGTGTGGTGAAAGTGTTGAATGATGATGAAAGTATTTTCCTTTTGGGGATTTTCTTTCTTTTTTGGGTCACCCTGCCTCGGTGGGAGACGGCCGACTTGTTGAAAAAAAAAAAAAATAATAGTAATGAGATACTTTAGATAATTTCAAATACTGCAATATAATATTTAATTACACACTTCATTCTTGTAAACCACATCTCTAAAATGGAAAGTACAAAATAAAATGGGTCAGATACACAATTTTGAAAATTTAGCTTTATTACAGAATAAGAAAAAGAATACATGATCTATATAAAACCCAAACAAATTTGTTTAAAGGCTTTCATCATTTTATAACTTGGCTTTCTCTGGGATGAATGGGGGATCCAGGTGAAATTTGCCATGTCGACCAATTCCATCAACAAACTTTTGTGCTCCTACAACAGATTCCTGAAAAAAGAAAATAACTATGAGGAGTGCTTTCTAACAGAAGTAATACTGTGCAATAACAAGTTTAGACAATAAACCTTGGTGTAATTTGTAATTTGCAACACTAATAATAATAATAATAATAACAGATAGGAATGAATGGAAATGAATGGTTTTTGGGACCTGACAAGCTGTTAGAATGTAAGACGGGTAATATTTTGTGAAGAGATTCAGGGAAACTGGTCAGCCAGACTAGTCCTAGAGGTGGGAAGCACAATGCCTACACTTTAAAGGAGGGGTTTGGGATATTGGCTGTATGGAGTGACATCTAAGCTGTCGTATCTGAGCACCTCTGCAAAGACAGTGATTATGTGTGAATGATGGTGAAAGTGTTTCTTTATTTTTTGGGTCACCCTGCCTCAGTGGGAGACGGCTGACGTGTTAAAAAAAAAAAAATTATTTCAGCGTGATACAATGTTTGTGCAAAGGAGAATGACATTTGGGAGTACAGTGATCCCTCGTTTTTCGTAATTAATCCGTTCCTGGAGGAGCTACTATAAACAAAATTTACGATTTGCGAATCAATTTTCCCCATAAGAAATAATGTAAATGCAATTAATCCGTTCCTGACACCCAGAAGTATTAAAACAGAAAATTTTTTTACATGAAATATACATGTAGTACATAAACAATACAATGGGAAATGATGAATGAAACATTAACAGAGTAACACTTACCTTTATTGGAGATTCTTCTTACTTACTTACTTACTTACTTACTTAGTGTATGGGAGACTGGAGGAGGAGAGAGATTGGATTGTTTACAGTTTGGAAGGGGAATCCCCTTCCAGCAACACCTCAGGTACCAATTGCTTCTCTGGGGTTGCTTCTCTTCTCTGTTTGTTAATGCCACTAGGACCACCTTGAGAGTCACTCTAGTCCTGTCTCGCAAAGTAACTGTGGAGAGAGCTCTGTTTCTGGCGTCTCTTTAACACTTCCCTAAAATGGCCCAAGACTTTGTCACTGTACATATTTCTCACCTTCTTTACCACAGGCTTGGCACTAGAAGCTTTCTTTGGAGCCATGGTAGCTTATTTAGTACTTGCAAGCACTAAAATGAGTGGAATATTATGAAATATTTCGTAGGAGCACTTGAGGGGACCTTCACTCACTGGTAAACAATGCCAAACTGGCTGGGTAGGGAGGCCGCCTTGGCTCACACCGTGCGTATGCGTCCCGGACGAACTACTATTCGCGAGTCAACCTATGAAAAGCGAGTCCATGTTTATACGAAAATACCCCTATGATTGGCGAAATTTACAATTGCCGAGAACTACGAAAAGCGAGAGACCACTGTACATGCCAAAAGCCCCTACATATGCAGAGCATTTCAGGTAGACTTTAAATTAACTTAAGATTAATAAGGCAATAACAATAAGGTGTAAATTTAGGAGTTTAGAATGAATACAAGAGAATTCAAAAAACTACTGTAATTTTTGCTTAAATGTCTAAAATAAAACAAATTAATTATACTGGTTGAGGCACTAGAAATCCTTGATGTCAATACATACAAAATTTAAAAGAAAAGAAATTTCAGCATTGTCCAAAATTAAATAATTCCTGTGGGTCTAAATGGTCACTCAAAGATAGGAGTGAATGGAGACAAATGGTATTTGGGACCTGACGATCTGTTGGAGTGTGAGCAGGGTAATATTTAGTGAAGGGATTCAGGGAAACCGGTTATTTTTATATAGCTGGACTTCAGTCCTGGAAATGGGAAGTACAATGCCTGCATTTTAAATGAGGGGTTCGGGATATTGGCAGTTTGGAAGGATATGTTGTGTATCTTTATAGGTATATGCTTCTAAACTATTGTGTTCTGAGCACCTCTGCAAAAACAGTGATTATGTGTGAGTGAGGTGAAAGAGTTGAATGATGATGAAAGTATTTTCTTTTTGGGGATTTTCTTTCTTTTTTTGGGTCACCCTGCCTCGGTGGGAGACGGCCGACTTGTTAAAAAAAAAAAATAATAATAATGTCACAGTGGTTGTTTAATATATTTATAGATGGGGTTGTAAGAGAAGTAAATGCGAGGGTCTTGGCAAGAGGTGTGGAGTTAAAAGATAAAGAATCACACATAAAGTGGGAGTTGTCACAGTTGCTCTTTGCTGATGACACGGTGCTCTTGGGAGATTCTGAAGAGAAGTTGCAGAGATTGGTGGATGAATTTGGTAGGGTGTGCAAAAGAAAATTAAAAGTGAATACAGGAAAGAGTAAGGTTATGAGGATAACAAAAAGATTAGGTGATGAAAGATTGGATATCAGATTGGAGGGAGAGAGTATGGAGGAGGTGAATGTATTCAGATACTTGGGAGTGGACGTGTCAGTGGATGGGTCTATGAAAGATGAGGTGAATCATAGAATTGATGAGGGGAAAAGGGTGAGTTTCTGTGGAGACAAAGAACTTTGTCCTTGGAGGCAAAGAGGGAAATGTATGAGAGTATAGTTTTACCAACGCTCTTACATGGGTGTGAAGCATGGGTGATGAATGCTGCAGCGAGGAGAAGGATGGAGGCAGTGGAGATGTCATGTCTGAGGGCAATGTGTGGTGTGAATATAATGCAGAGAATTCGTAGTTTGGAAGTTAGGAGGAGGTGCGGGATTACCAAAACTGTTGTCCAGAGGGCTGAGGAAGGGTTGTTGAGGTGGTTCGGACATGTAGAGAGAATTGAGCGAAACAGAGTGACTTCAAGAGTGTATCAGTCTGTAGTGGAAGGAAGGCGGGGTAGGGGTCGGCCTAGGAAAGGTTGGAGGGAGGGGGTAAAATAGGTTTTGTGTGCGAGGGGCTTGGACTTCCAGCAGGCATGCGTGAGCGTGTTTGATAGGAGTGAATGGAGACAAATGGTTTTTAATACTTGATGTGCTGTTGGAGTGTGAGCAAAGTAACATTTATGAAGGGGTTCAGGGAAACTGGCAGGCCGGACTTGAGTCCTGGAGATGGGAAGTACAGTGCCTGCACTCTGAAGGAGGGGTGTTAATGTTGCAGTTTAAAAACTGTAGTGTAAAGCACCCTTCTGGCAAGACAGTGATGGAGTGAATGATGGTGAAAGTTTTTCTTTTTCGGGCCACCCTGCCTTGGTGGGAATCGGCCAGTGTGATAATAAATAAATAAAAAAATAATAATAATAATAATCATGCAAAAAATATACTGCCCATGGCAAAATAACAGGACTAGTCTATTCTAAAACTGAAAGCAGTGTTGCACTCACCGAGTACTGTATCTTGAACCAAAAGAAGTCACTTTGGTGAAAAACTTAATCGGTTATTGAGATTCCCACCAGAGAATAGTATCACCCATAAATATTAAAGCATGATGCATAATAATCTAATATTTATTTTACAAGTAAGCAGAAAATTAGTTTGGCAGGTAATAAAATCCTTGGAGAGAATGTTATTTTTACTTAAAAATAAAAAAAAATACTTTAGAATGGTAAGGGGGTAGGGTAAGAAAACAATGCAAGTTTTTTTTTTTTTTTCAACAAGTCGGCCATCTCCCACCGAGGCAGGGTGACCCAAAAAAGAAAGAAAATCCCCAAAAAGAAAATACTTTCATCATCATTCAACACTTTCACCACACTCACACATTATCGCTGTTTTTGCAGAGGTGCTCAGAATACAACAGTTTAGAAGCATATACGTATGAAGATACACAACATATCCCTCCAAACTGCCAATATCCCAAACCCCTCCTTTAAAGTGCAGGCATTATACTTCCCATTTCCAGGACTCAAGTCCAACTATATGAAAATAACTGGTATAATAACTAAATCAGTATAATAACTAAATCAGGGGGATGTGCTGTGAATGATTGATGCAGATATGATGAGACAGAGTGAAACATGTGGTTAGGGGAAGGAATGTACCATGGTGGGATGAAGTGAACACATTGCAAATGAAAGATGTGAGAGGACTGAGTGCAACATGACAAATCAGTGTGATGGGACAGAGTGAAACATGGCAAAGGAGAGAAACATGATGGGACCAAGTGAAACACAGCAAAGGAGAGAGATGTGATTGGACTGAGTAAAACATGGCAAAGGAGAGAGATATGGGACTGAGTGAAATATGGCAAAGGAGAGAAATAAGATGGGACTGAGTGAAACATGGTAAAAGAGAGAGATGTGATTGGACTGAATGAAACAGAGTCAATACATAGTAAATATAATAATAATAATAATTAATAATAATAATAATAATAATAATAAATGGGATTAGGTCAGGGGTTTCAAATAGAGTTAGAGCTAAAGAAGGAGTAGCAATAATGTTGAAGGATAAGCTATGGCAGGAAAAGAGGGACTATATATGTATTAATTCAAGGATTATGTGGAGTAAAATAAAGATTGGATGTGAAAAGTGGGTTATAATAAGCGTGTATGCACCTGGAGAAGAGAGAAGTGTAGAGGAGAGAGAGAGAGATTTTGGGAAATGTTGAGTGAATGCGTGGGGAGTTTTGAATCAAGTGTGAGAGTAATGGTGGTTGGGGATTTCAATGCTAAAGTGGGTAAAAATGTTATGGAGGGAGTAGTAGGTAAATTTGGGGTGCCAGGGGTAAATGTAAATGGGGAGCCTTTAATTGAGCTATGTGTAGAAAGAGATTTGGTAATAAGTAATACATATTTTATGAAAAAGAGGATAAATAAATATACAAGGTATGATGTAGTACGTAATGAAAGTAGTTTATTAGATTATGTATTGGTGGATAAAAGGTTGATGGGTAGGCTCCAGGATGTACATGTTTATAGAGGGGCAACTGATATATCGGATCATTATTTAGTTGTAGCTACAGTTAGAGTAAGAGGTAGATGGGAAAAGAGGAAGGTGGCAACAACAAGTAAGAGGGAGGTGAAAGTGTATAAACTAAGGGAGGAGGAAGTTCGGGTGAGATATAAGCGACTATTGGCAGAAAGGTGGGCTAGTGCAAAGATGAGTAGTGGGGGGATTGAAGAGGGTTAGAATAGTTTT